TATTTGATAATATCTGAGAAGGCACAAACATTATGGCAATTCTAAGGCTAACATAGGGCTAAGATCAGAACCAGTGAAACTAGAAAAGTAAAAAACGACGGGGGAACACCTAAAAGAGCAAATACTACTTCCAAAGCTGCAATGACGATTGCCTACGGGGAAAGGGAGTGTCGACCGAGACCCAACGGAGAAATAAATCGCTGATGGGATAAGCTTGAGATCGGGAAGTTCACGGTGGCGAAGTGAACAATAATATTTTAAAAGTTCGAACAAAATAAATTTGAATTGTGAGTCAATAAATAAACAAAAACGAAAAGATGTATAGATTTTGCATGATTTTAATATTTTAATTTATTTTATTGCTTAAAAATATCAAGGCAATGGTGTGGGGCTCAAGTATCTCATCTAATAAATATTCAAACATTAGTTTTCTACTTGTTAAGAAACTAGCTTATTGCACTAGAATTAGCCCTCTTGGTTATAATTCTAATTTTACTTTATTTAAAAAATTGTGGAGATTTAAAAATAACAAATTCAAAGGTTAATCATTTCATTATAAATAATAGAGATGGAGAGAAAAAGAGCTTGAGAGAAACCTATAAGGTTGAGAGAAGAGGAGAACAAGGGAATGTAAATTTTTTATTATTTCAATGTGTAAAATAAACACAAGATATCCTCTATTTATAGGCAAAAGTATGTCACTCAAATCTCACCAACAACAACCCAAAAAAAAAAAAATACACAAACTGATGATGATAAGAGATATTATAAAACAATGAAGATGCTAAAAGATATGATAAGATAATAGACAATCATATTATATCCTAATATTTATAACACATTTAAACTTTGATGGTAATTTGAGTTTTTTTATCTTGTTAAATCGTAAATTTTGAATGAGGACATACAAATTTGAGAAATTAACTTATAAATTGATTCGTAAGAATTGAATAACTAATGCAAAAAATTAAACAAATTAACTCATAGATCTATCTAATAATTTTTTATTTTATGTAGTAAATATCACATTAAAAATAAAATGCTATAATTCATACAAGATTATATTTATAAAATGAGATTCAATATTTTTTTATCAAATATTATTTTGTCAGTATATAATATTGACCAAAAATTTAAAAATTGTTAGTGGTTAATAATAATTTTAGAAGGTTTATTAAAATAGAATTAAAAAATATACATTTTGAGAATTTTTTAGGGTAAAAACAAAGAAAAAATATTTTTCTTTTACAGGTAATTCTCAATCAAACCGGCAGTCCAATTCGATTTTTAAGTAGTTTTTTCTATTGAATCGCGCAGTGTTTTAATGTTTGCTAGTGATAGACGTGATTATTATATGAGAAAAATATTTATTCTTATGAGAGATTTTAAATAAGTCCTAAATAAGGATTTTTATTTTTTTGGCCAAAGTCCTGAATAAGGATTTAAATATAAACCACTACTGTGAATTTGCTTAAATACAATACAGTTTTGATTTTGGGAGAATGACATATAATGACCACTTAAATAAATTATTTATAAATAAGGATTAATATAAAACAATTATTATTAAAATATGAACATAAACTTATTCTTTTAAAATGTAATCACGTCAATACTGAATTCAAACTCATAACTTATTTTAAGTAAGAAAGATAATATTATCATTAAAACAACTAATTGTTGATGTTGATAAAAATTTTGACACGAGGTTAATCAACCAACATGGTCATTAATTGGTTGCTTAATGAATACTATTTGGTTTTTGATATACAATGAAGTTAACAAATTTTATGCTTTTTATGAAATGTTAGTTATAATCTTGAAATTATAAAAAAAAATCTAACTTTTCGATTTTTTTTTATGATTAAAGACCCTAACAATTATTATTTAAAAATTTAAATGAAAATAAATAAATAGAGGGTAAAATTAGGAAAATGTATTAATTACTTTAGTTTGGTTTTATATTTAAGATAAAAAAAAAGCTTTAAATTTTGTCTTACTTTAAATATTCAAAGGAGTGTGTGTGCCTCTCTTAAAAAATCAATATTTTTATATTTACTATCAATGAATCTCTTGTACTTATAACTCGATTTAGCCTTCTAGCTTCTTTGACTTCTGTCATAATTGAGCATTCAACAAAAAATCTTTAGAACTTTTGCCATATGCTCTACGGCCACTTCTTAAGAATTGACATGGATTCAAAAAGATATTGTATCACTTTTAAGAAAGAAACAAATTTATATATTTAGTTTTATATATTTAAAGTAATTGTTTTCAATTAAATTAAGATATATAAATTTTTTATAAATTATTTATTTCATGGCAAACTCTTATGGTTAATATTATTAATGTAATAAAATTTACTTATTTTGATTTAATTAAATAAAAGTGCATTGAGACTATAATATTAGGCATTTGAGTCCTGCCTTTTGAAAAACTTTGTTGTTGATTTGTATCTTCTTCCTTCATTTTCGTTCTTCATTTTCTTGATTTCTTCTCTTATTTTTTAGTTGCTTATCTCTTCTTCTTGGATCTTCAATGGATGGCTGAAAATTGAGCTGAGTGGCTAAAAAAAAAAAAAAAAGATTGATGGAGCTGCAAAAAAAAGTCGATATTCTGATTTTATTTTTTTGACACCAAAACAACTCTCCTTTAAAGATATCAAAAGGAAAAGATATTATCTTATCCAACTCATTTAACCTGTTGAGGATGTATTAGTTTTCGTGTGATTTAAATGAAAATTAAGTTGGACAAGTGGCCAGTTCAAAGGGTTATCAATATGACCTGCCAATTTGATCCAATTTTCCATATATGGTTAACTGCATGTGTTTACGCTATGCAATTGAGTTTAGGCTTTTCTTTCTTTATTTCTTTCTTTTGTTGTTCTTTTCTTTTGCCACTTGAGTTTGCCCAATAAGGTAGTGCAGGTTATTTCAAGTGTATTATGTTATGTACACATTATTATTTTGTTATATACTCATTGTTTTATCTCTGATAATAAGAATAAACTCATAGTTAACAAAAATAGCACATACTTTAAAATTGATGAATAAGGTTAAAGAATTTCGCCTCAATTACACACACACACACATTTTAAGAACCTAGTGCATGGGGGCATGGATTGCTTTTAGCCAATGTAGATTTATTAAATTATAAGATATTTTTAATATCTCAAAACGTATGACATTTTGATAAAAATAATATTTTATTAATAATATTTTTTAATATCACCCTTCTCATTGTACTTTTTCTCTCTTGAATATTTTTTTTATAAACGAGTTATTAAATAGAGAGTACTTTTAAAAGTTTTATATTTTGATCTTGAAAAAATAAAATTATAAAATATATTTAATAAAATTTATTTATATATGTAACATTATTTAAAGGTATTTTATAACTTGAAAGTGAGGAAGTATTAATTATTAATTGTTGATATTAATTATTATTAATGTATCTAACTTCTAGCAACTTATACCCAAAAAGCAAACCAAATAGTCAAACTTAAGAGTTGCTTGATCCTTAATTATCAACACTTCTGGGACAACGAAACCCTAAAGTCCGATCACCCTCGATTCATTAATTACTTCAGCTCTTTTGCAGATTAAACGTATATTCTCAACGAATTTGTAAATAGAACATAAGGCGCCAAAGTAACTCAAAGCAAGGGATATAGGGAAAAAATCACTCACAAGTCCCACGGAAAGAGTTTAATTAAATGAAAGTTTTATAAAATTATAATTATAAAATCATTCTAAAATCTGGTATTATTTATTGATGCTGTTAATACTCTCAACTAAATAACTTTATTAGTAACTATATTGACAACTTTTTTTGTTTGTTTTTTAGGATGTATTTCCACAGCCAACAATCATGAAACCAAATTTTTAAGAAATTTGAACCTGATTTAAGGATTTGCTATCTCCCAAACAATACACTTTATACACATTTCTAATAATTGAATTCTGAAATGATACTTAAAGAGTCCAAACTACTATCATCTGTAATTATATTAACAATTACTTGTTTGAATTGATGGATTTAAATTTAAATTTTATATTTTAAATCTATGTATTTAAAATTCATTATTTGAATAGTTTAAAAAGTTTCGGATGAAGATAGATGAGTTGAAATTTAGAATAAAAATGGAAGATTGAAAATAGTAAATTTATTTTTATTTTTTAATGAATGAGGTATAAGAATGAGACATGTGAGAAGATATGAGAATCATGAAGATATTAACAATGAAAATACGAAAAGAAAAATATGTTTGAAATGTCAAATGATTAAAATATAGAAATAATTTAAAATTATAAAAAAGTTGCAGTCATAAATGGATTTAGATTTGGATCTTGATAAATTTTTATATATCCAATTGAGAGATTTGAATTAAATTTAAATTCAAATCCTGCCATAACATAACAAATTAACAACGACGAAAAATATGAGACTTCAACTTGCCAATATAATTTATGACTTTATGAGATTTTTTTCATATTTAGATGTTTTTGTATGGGATTTAAGAGCTTTTTTTTTTTCTAAACGTGAAAAGATTCGTTCACTGGGCTTTAAAGAGTAACTAGACTAAATCCTTGCATTTTTATATATTTAATTTAAAGAAGATAAATATTTTTTCTGGGCAATCTAAAGAAGATAAATATTCTCAGCACGTTTATAATAATTTGCTAGCATTATCAATTTCAAATCTGTGCTTTTTCTAAATAAAAAAGGAGTGTTACGTTTTTCTTATTTATAGTAGCTTCCAAGTCTTACGTTTTCAGTGATAATAATTATATTTCCTTGAAAAAAGTGACAATAATTATATATGTTTTTTTTTTGTCATGAATTCACTGTTATTTTTCTATCGATGATTTTTTTCGTTTTATCAAAGAGCCAACATCAGTGAATGAAAAAAATAAATAAATACAGGCATTCGCGGGAGAATTTCCAAGCCAGGGTTTGGGCCATGGTTAATTTCTGTTTGTAGTTTGCTTTGGAATGGTAAATCTGAGGAATAACAATAACAACAACAACAAAGCTGCTGTGCACTTTGCCAAGGCCAAACCTCAAAACCCTCCTGCCTCCTCAAGGCACACCTTCCTCCATCGCTGTGTTTCGTTCCATCTCACTCTTCTTTGTTTCAATCTCTCTCTTCCCGAAGAACTCCTCTTTTATGGAAGATGACGATGAGTTCGGAGATTTATACACTGACGTGCTCCGACCCTTTGCTCCGACATCTTCCACCGCTCCTCAGTCTTTCTCTGCGCCCCCATCTGCCACCCGTTCGATCGATCTCAATTTCCAGACCCATCGACAAGAGATCCTCCACGGAGCTCCTCACCCTAATTCGGCTGTTCCCTACCAGTCGTCCGATCAAACCGGAGCTCCCAAGCGGGACGACTTCGTCGAAGAATCTGCTCGCGCTGTAGCTTCCAGTTCTGCGCCGGGTTTGATCGGGTGCGATGAGATAGATGAGCGTGGACCTGGGAAGGAAGATGAATCAGTTGAGGCTGCTAAGGTTATTGAACGTGGAGATGCGGAATCGGCTGGTAGGGCTTTACAGGATGTGAACCGTGGTAAGGAATCTGGCATTGGAGATGTGCGCGGCGAAGTTGCTGTGAAAGGAGACGATTTGACGGAGAAGGATGTAAAATTTGACATCGAGGATGACGGTGATGGAATTGAAGAGGTGGGTTCCGAGCCAATTATTCCTGGATTATCAAGCGGTGCTGGCGGCTGTATTGATGGTGTGGTTGTTGCTGCCGGAAGGTTTAATGAGAGCGGTGACAGAGGCGAGGGCGATGATTGGGATAGTGACAGTGAGGATGATTTGCAGATAGTGTTGAATAATCATATGGACATGGAAAGAGGTGGAATGGTGGGCGAAGATGACGAAGATGAAGATAGCGAGCTGGTTATCGTGGCAGATGGCGACCCAAGTCAGGCAACTGAGGTGCAAGAGTGGGGCGAGAACTCAGCGCAACCCGCTGATGGTGAGAGGAAGGATATGGGTGACTCTGCCAAAGCAAGTGGGGGCGTGACAGTGGTGCCAAAAGTCGGTTATAGCAATCATGGGTATCATCCATTTCATTCGCAGTTTAAGGTCAGTGTCTTGTGTTGCTTGAAAGGCAATTACTTGTATTTGGGGTTTCTCGTTCCCCTTCATGTATCATATAAAGAATTAGATTTCAACAATATAGACTTGTATTGTACGATGTGATATGTTGCTTCGTTTGTTATTGAAATAAAATTTTATGGTTTTAACGTAGCCAACATTAATGTTTCTTTCATGCGCGTTTGTTGAGAAAAATTTTGAAAAGCTGAATGTCTGGCAAAAAGCAGCTGACACAACAATGATCTGGATGAAGTAATAAAAGCCTGGAAGGCAATGGGTTCAACTTTACGGGGCTTCTCAATAAAATGAGAATGCCTGCTGCAAGTTTAAATGGCCATCTTTTACATAATGCAGAAGATTTTCTGATGTTTCTTCTGTTACCAAATTAACTATTGAGGCTTACACACGCGGAAAGTTGAACATCTCTCTTTACAGACATGGAAAGGAATTAATATATCATATATCAATGTAAAACATAAAAAGGTGGGGAGTCACATCATTCACAAGTATTGAACAGTGCTACCCACTCTAGTTAAATGTTTATGTCAGTTGCCTAGCTGAGACATGGGTTTAAGGACCAGGCAAACATGGTGCAAAGTATTGGTGATATTGTGCTTTGTTATAGTCATGTGCAAGCGAGTCATATTTCATGGTTATCTCCTAGTACCTCAATTATCCTTTTCGTTGTGAAAGACCACGAAGGCATGTAGTGTATTTATCAGCTCGGTTGTGGGCTTGTGTTTTGTATGGAGTCAAAAGTGAGCCTATTTATGATGTATAAAAAGTGTGGCTTCTTCTAGATATTTAGGTATATAAAAGGCGCTTCTAGAGGGGGAAATAAAGGGTTTCACTACATAGTCATGATAACATGGTTGCTTGTTGGGTGATTCTTCAATTGCATTTTGAATGTTTAAATGCTATAATAAGTTGAATTTCGCCCCCTCTTCATTATCCTCTTGCATCTGACGTCTCTCAATACTTGGAATAACTACCTTTCCATTAACTGTTCTTGGATGGGTGCGTAAAGCTGCAACCATACCCAAGGTTTGTTGTTTGCAGGTTAACCTGCTCAATGCTCAACCAAATAGCATTTTTTTTTTTTAAGTATTATGATAAACTTATGGCATGTTTTCTCTTTCCCATGGGAGGATGAAGCAATTCTACTGGCTTAACATTCTCTCGCGGGGCTGTTTTCTATCTCATGTTTATCGGAATGAGAATCAAGAATCATACCTATCTCATGTTTTCTATCTATCCTCACTTGTAAAAACTGGAAACCTATAGAAATTAAGCATGGGTTTGCTTAAAAAGTGGGATTGTATTGAATTGACGAATTGTGACAAGCTTTAGGGTTGCTGAGGGAAGTTGTATTAGGAGCCACTTGTAAATTTCACACCTAGTTTATGTCCTACACAGTGAGAAAAAAGAAGAGATTAGGATACTGTTTTTTATCATTGATGTTACTTTATTAAGTTGTAATACTTGGAAACTATGGATATTTGAGTGGATGATCTGATGTGCAAATGTTCCTCATATCTCTTGCTTAACCAAATACTGCCTAGAGCTAATGTATGTGATGTTTAAGCAAGGATTGCTACCTTTTACAGGTATATATCCTATGTGGTAATTTATTGTGAAGTGCTTGGTTACAACTTTGCCTTTATATTAATGATTTTATCAAAGGATCATCGATTTGATGTTTTAATTTGTTCTGTGGTGTTTTTCTTCCATGGTGAGTTTAATTTCTTGATGATCATAAGTTTTTGATTATCAAATTACTTTTTGTTCCTTATTCTACGGGGTTTGTGTTTTCTTGGTGGCCTTTTAATGTACTTGAGTGAACGATTTCCAGAAAAAAATCTATTCCCTCTCTAACTGTGTTCTCTGCTAGATTTGACCATCTTCATATAGTGGTGGGACTTTGTAAATACTTTAATTTCAATCATATTCTTTCAGAAGGGAAGAATTTAGTCATGTTTCTCTCCCCAGGCATTTTAATCATTCTGTCACCGGGCACCTTTTGGGAGTTGTTTCCTCCAAGCTGTGTAGATAATTCTTGATATTTAGATGCATAGCAATACATTATTAAAATCATCTATTAATTTGTTTTCTATTGTAATGCAGTATGTCAGGCCTGGTGCAGCGCCAATACCTGGAGCATCTACTGCCCCGGGAGTATCTGCTGGTCAGATCCGTCCACCTGCTAACATGGTTCCTATGGCTGGTCGTGGAAGAGGGGACTGGAGACCTCCTGGAATAAAAGGTGCTGCTGCTTTGCAAAAAGGTTTTCATGCAGGTCCTGGATTACCTGTTTGGGGCAACAGTGCAGCAGGGCGGGGTTTTGGTGGTGGACTGGAATTTACTCTTCCCTCGCACAAGTAAATTTAATTGACTTAATGTGCATGCATGGATGAACGTGTAATTTTTTATCCAATGATTTGTTATCTTAAAGGCATTTTCCTGGTGGTGTAGACTGCAATCAAGTAGGTTAATCACGTTATGTCTTCTTGCCTTGAATTTTGGTTTTTATGAACGTGTACATTTGACTATCAAATCATTCTTACCATGAGCATGAAATGCTGATGTGTTAAGTTGGTGAGCTTTATGTTAGTCATGGAGAATGGGAAGAGAGTACTAGGGGAGATGAAATTGTAGAAGATTTACTTCAGGAGTAGGAAATTCTAGATCATTTAGAATTTTTAGGGTTGTTCAAGATTTATGTATTTTCTGACATTTATTTGTTTCGTGATTTTTCTTTTTATTTGTTTTATTTTCTTTTTAGGCTTCATTATACATGGCCTTATGGCTTTGCACGTTGTTCAGATCAGATACGTTGTCAGTTTAATTCTCTGTTTTTCTGTGCCACCTTCCTTACTTCCTCTTTCTATCTTTACTTATTTCGTTGATTATTTTCAATATCACTGCTTTTTTTGTTTTTTTTTGTTTGGTTTCATTATTGTCCATGCACTTGCGTTTGGATGGACAAATTTTCTGAGAAATGTCTCACTAATAATTACAAATTTATGTTGTGTGAAGCCAGTATTCCTTGCATCTTTGAATTCTTCTTGTGTTGGGGTTTTAAATTAAGGCTAAATCTTTCATGTAATATGTATGATGCTTTAATCTCGATTAATTTTCTGCCATCTTTCTATTTGGGTAAAATTTATCAGTTGTTAACATCTGATGAGTGCTTATCTAAACTTGCCTGTAACTTTCAGGACTATATTTGATGTTGATATTGATAGTTTTGAGGAAAAGCCTTGGAAATATCCTGGTGTTGACACATCAGACTTTTTCAACTTTGGTTTGATTGAGGAGACCTGGAAAGAATACTGCAAGCAGCTGGTAAAATTTTTCATGTTCACATTCTCTAGAAATTTAGTGAGAACTGTATAAAAAAAAAAAAGAAATTTAGTGAGAACAGTGGACTGAGACTTTTACTCTCTCTTTTTTCCTTTTAATGCTTGACTTTCTAGGAACAACTGCGCCTAGAGTCTACAATGCAAAGCAAAATCCGTGTATATGAAAGTGGCAGAATGGAGCAGGTTAGTGCTGACACTGTATCTTATAAAGAACCTGTTATCCCATTTTTCATGGCGTGTGCTGTCTTTTTTTACTTTATTTTTTTAGAAACATCCAATTCATTGAGTCAATGTCATTGCAGGAGTATGACCCAGATTTGCCCCCTGAATTAGCAGCAGCAACTGGTATGCGTGATGTCAATGTGGAAAATACAAATTCTGTAAAGTCAGATGCTGGACAAAGTGATGTTGGAAAAGGTTCTGGGCGTGTGAGGCCACCACTTGTATGTCTTCTTCTCACATTTGTTTTGCATTTGCACTTCTTTTATCTTAAAAAGAAATAAACCGTTTTTGAATTTCTATCTCATGAAGGCCAGATTTTGCAACTTTTTGGGGCCTATTATTTTCCACTTAGTCTGCATGTAGCTGATTGATATAGCATTAAATATATGTGCTGAGATCTATTGCTCTCTAAGGCCAAAAAAAAGAAGGTTTATCGCCCTTTCATTTCCCATTTAGTCTCTGTATCTTATATTTTAATTTATTGTCCCCCAGCCAACTGGGAGAGCAATACAGGTGGAAGGTGGTCTTGGTGAACGCCTTCCTTCCATTGACACTCGACCTCCACGAATCCGTGATTCAGATGCAATCATTGAGGTAATTGATCGTCTTGTGGTTCAGCCTATGATGCAATTGGATAATTATGTTTATGTGGCATATCTGCCCTGCACTCATGGCTGAAAGTATTTGTGTGCACAGATTGTTTTGCAGGATTCTGCCGATGATGATTCCTCTGCAGGGATTGCTGTTCAAGATCAATATGAGGGAGGAGAGCCCCAGAGAGATGATTTTGAAGAGGAGGATGTTGTTGACGAGGTTCCAAATGTGGAGCATGAGTATTTTGATGGATTTCCTCAAGATTATAGTAGTAGAAAGAGAGACCTGGCTGGAAAAAGAATGACATTCAAGAAGTCCCCACCGGCTGACGTGCTTGAAGGAGGTGAAACTTTGCCTTTCTCTCAGGAAGAATCAGTCAACTGCACTAGTACTAGGGACCAAACTCCTAAACCCAGTGGCGGCAATTCTGTCTCCTCTGATGTGGAAAGGTATGAAGAAGTCCCGATTATTTGCCTGTAGAATTGTGCATTGTCAATATGTATTGCATTTTCAACTTACAAGTTAATCCCAAGGCATAACTCTGATTGGGAGAGGAGAAAGCCATGTTGGGAGATCCTCCACCCAATTGTGGTTCAACATGGCTTGACTCCAGATTAGTTAGTATTGCCATATACTAGATGGTTTGTTCCACAAAAAAATGCAATTAACTTGTTAGTTTGTGTTGAAAGTTTGCAGTGATGAAGAGATTTTATTGATTGTGGGGGCAACATCTTTATTGACAAAAAATAGGTTATTAGATGGATATTTCTTTGCATGAAATTTTCATTTCATCAAAATTATTGAGTTGCAGTTTGTGCATGGAAGAATGATATTTGAACATGATCTAGAGCACGATGAAACATGTGTGGGGTCATAGAGTTTAAGAAGAAAGGCGATAGACCCGCATTTAGATGTAGGGGATTTTTTCCCGTTAAATTATTGCCTTTTCAATTGTAAGATCATAAAATGTATTCTCTGAATCTTTCTTTTAAAGAGGACATCTTTGTTATTTTCTTTGCATATTCTGGGATCTCTTGTTAAAGTTGAAGTTCAAAACTAATAGGTTTGGTATTTTGCATCTTCACATATTTACCATCTGGGGTTTTCTATTCACAGGCAGATACAAGGAAGGGCAAGTTCTTGTATAACTCCTAGTCGAGAAATTAATGACAATAAAAAAGAAGATTCTGATGAAAGCATGGAAAGGAGAGATAATGCACACTTGTCATCTCCTATGGCTGAAAATGCAAGGGAGTCTAGTGTTGGGGACAAGGATGCTAATCTTGATGAGCCTGGGATGGCTGGTGAAAGTTCCAAAATAGAAAAGGAGGAAATGGATCTTAATGCAGAGGACAAAAGAGATACCCTTAAGAGCTGTGATGGGAAGACAGAGAAATTAACATCTCAAGATGAGGAACCTCTACTTGATGAAGTTGATGATTGGGAGAACTCAAAAGCAGCAAGAAGTAGTGATAACAGCAAAGCAAGTTCAGTAAGGAGCAGGGGCTATCAGAAGCGGCTGGATGGTTATGAGGAGGAAGTAGTTCAGGATGCACAGTCAGCACGTCTGGGTGCAAATAGAAGGCCCTTTGATGAAAATGAGCACGACGATCTCCATAGAAGAGAGCATGACGGAAGGCAAGAACCTGAAAGAGATCGCCTACTGCCTAAAGGCAGAGAGGAACCATACCCTTACAAAGAGTGGCATCCTAGCTCAGCGCATCAATTGCACATGAAGGCTGATGGATTTGGCAGGCAAAAAGATAGGGACAGCTCTGACATTGCCTGGGCCCGCAGAGATGATGATCCCTATGGCAGAAGGGGCAGAAATGATGAAACAAGAAAGAGGGATAGGGTTAAGGTCCGAGAGAATGAGAGGAGTGACAGAGATGATAGCCTCTATTCACGAAAACAGTTGGATAATGGTAGTTATAGGGTTCCCTACGATAAGGATATAGGGTTAAGGGACTCAGGATACTGGGAAAAAGATGATGGCTTGAAGAGTAGGTATGAAGCTATGGAAGATTACCATAACAAGAGGAGGAAGGATGAGGAGTATATTAGGAGGGACCATATTGATAAAGAAGATATGTTGCATGGCTACAGGGAGAGTGGCAGTCGGCGTAGGAGAGAAAGAGATGTAGTGTTGGATCCACGGAAGAGAAATGATCTGCAAAGAAGTAGAGACAACTTAGATGATCATTATGCCTCTAGGCAGAAGGATGATGGATTACTACTGAAGGAGAGGTCTGATAGGCAGAGAGATAAGGAGGAGTGGCACAGGGCAAAACAATCTCATGAAGAACATCCATCAAAGCGTGAAAGAGAAGAGGGAAGGAGTTCTGTAAGAAGTGGACGAGGTGCTGAAGAAAAATCATGGGCTGGCCATGTTAGGGCTCAAGATGAGCACAGAGCTTCTGTGAAAGAGTACCAATCTAGAGATGCAACGCGGCCTAGTGAACAAGTGAAGAGAAGGGATCGAATTCGGGATGAAAGTCCTCATCATAAGGGTCGTGAGGATTCTAATACCCGTGGAAATCACTATAGCAGTGAGGAAAAGCGATCTAGGCAGGAAAGGTCAAGTAGTCGTGGTGATCGTGCTGCTACTGTTTCAGATAACCAAAGAGTTAATGAGAAAAGGCATAAAGAGGGCACAAGGAGAAGCAAAGAATCTGATCTCAGTGATCATAATAGTCTGTCCAAGAGAAATCAGGAAGATCAAAGTGGTCAGACCAACAGGAAGGTATATTGCTTATCTGTAAAAATGTGAAAGTCTCTGGAAAGTAAAGCTCTCTTTTTCTTGGATTTGATCTGTCTCTATGTGCCCGAGTAGAAGATCCTGATAATCTAAAATTATTGGAAGTTCAAAATTTGATCCTGGCCATAAAATTTTTATATGTGGCATGTTTTCTCCAAATTAAATTCCGTTCAAGTCCAAATATTTGTATGGCAGGGTAGGCATGATAAATAAAAGCTAGTTTTACACTTGCCTGAATTATACTGGCCCAACTCAATGACATGAGGAGCCTTATTTTTCCTATTTTCATTGTCAACTTTGAAGAGTAGACTTTTTTTCTTGTTACATTAGGAGGGCTTGAACCTTGACCTTTACCCACAACCAACCCCACACTTGCCACCTGAACTAACTTCAGGTGGCTATCTGGTTTGTTTGTTTGTTTTTTTTTTTTTTTTTTTGCGTATTTTTATACCAGTATTTGAACTTAGGACCCCAACATTACACTTTGAAGGGCTCACCACTGAGATTAAATATGCTAGTTGGCTGATTGGTGTTTTACATAGTAGTCTGAATGTATTCGGGTTGCTAAATTCCAGAGAATGTCTATTATGCCTAATTTGTAGGACCTTTTTTTTTTAATTGTTTATCTTAAGTCAGTCAAACTTCATTTCTGTTGTTTGTTTGCAGTTTGTTGATTTTTAGATTTTATAATACCATTATCATTATCGTTGGTATTGTATATTTTTTCCTGTTTGTGAAGAGCTCAAGAGTCTCCATTGAAGAAGGACGCATTGAGCAAGAAGGGCATCATCCGTCCAGAAAACATCGGGAAGACATTTCATCAGATGATGAACAACATGAATCTCGTAGAGGAAGATCTAAATTGGAACGCTGGACGAGTCATAAGGAAAGGGATTTCAGTGTGACTGGCAAGCCATCATCTTCCCTGAAGTTCAAAGACATTGATAAAGATAACAATGATGCGTCTTCTGGAGTTGGGAAACCTGTGGATGAATCTGCCAAGACAGTTGAGACTGTCGAAAACCAGCACAACGCATCAGCTGAAGGAAAGGATTCCATTGATATGGAAAGCAAAGATGCTGATCCTAAGGGATCTGGGGATCGGCACATTGACACAGTTGAGAAGTTGAAGAAACGCAGTGAGCGGTTCAAGCTCCCAATGCCAAGTGAGAAAGAGGCTCTGACTATCAAAAGTTGGAGAGCGAACCATTGCCTTCTGCTAAAAGTGAAAATACTGTGGATTCAGAAGTCAAACAAGAACGACCAGCACGAAAAAGAAGATGGATCAGTAACTAAATGGGGAAAAAAACAGGATCCCACCATTGCTTTGGCAAAAATCTACCGAGGCATCGGCCTAGTTCTGGCAAACCTAGAACCCCAGCTAGCCAGCCATGCAATATCTACGTTGAAGATCAGAAGATGGCATCGTTAGGGTTTCAGATGATTTGTAATTCTTCAGTTGTAATGTCATTTTTGTAACCATGCTTCTTCCAACATATGCATTATACTATATGTATATACAGGTGAAAACGTAAAATTGAAACTGGTCACTGTAATAGGTGGCACATTTTTCTGATCTCGGCTGAGGATTGTGTTGGGAATTTGACTAGGGTCGGATACAAATACATCCAGAAACCACTGACATGGATGATGAGGCATGAGCCTAATACTGGTCACCTCTTGTGGCCCTGGCAGGTCCGAGTATTGAAAAGAAAAAACAGGAAGCATCCTGGTTGGCGGAGGACCGTTGTAAGAAGTCGAAGGCGCCTGTCTTTTGTTTTAGTCTTGTAGATTATAAACAAGCTCTGGTAACTGTTTTACTATATCACTTTATTCTTCTTTCCGATCATGACACTGTAGGATAGTGCCAGTTTAGGGTTACAGCAGAAATCCTCTATAGTGAAGTCAGGAAGGGAATGTAACTGTTGTGGAATATGAACAGGTAAAAAAAAAAGTAGCAGCAAAATCTTGCCAGTTATAAATCTCTCTCATCGTACTATTTAAGTTTAAGGAAGCACGCTTGCAAATACAAAATGCTTTTTTTTATTTTTCACTGTCAATGAAAATAATCCTCTTCACCCTGACTTTCAGTGAAAATAAATAATTAGATGTGGGTGCGGATGAATGTTTGATCAGAAAATCATGTTTTTAACTCACCCGTATAATGTTTAGTAATTGTACTCCTTGGGACTTTCTAAATTCTAAATGTTGGTGGTTACAAGCACTGGACGTTGAAGCCTAAGAAAAGACCAAGAAAATATGAAATAAAGAGGCGGGGAAGCTAGCATTCCAGATCTTGCCTCAAGTCATTTTAATTCTTATTAATTACTAAAAGCATACTCATTAGAATATTATCAAATGAAATTAACATGAGTGATGGAGTTTTCGTTATTTTAGCAAGTGGTTGAAAATTTAAATATTATTTTTTGTAGGTAACAACTTAGTTGTTTATGGTAAAAAGAACATGTGCTATTTCCAATGTGAAGTTTGACAAGGTTTTTTTTTAATATAAAAATATTTGTCTGGACGTAAAATTTATTTAATTATTGAACAATGTGGAAAGGGCACGAGAACTCTCATTCAACATCTAGAACACCAAAACTAAAGTTGACGTATACTATATAATTATCAACATAATACAAAAGTTAGACTTTGCGCAAAGCGTGCCTTACAATCTAATTACAATTACAATAACAATTTGTTTTTCTGAACAGTATATTCATGGTTACAAGGCAAGTGTTTGTCAGAGTCGACAAGATTTATTCCTATTTTTTGTGGTAGAAGAAATAATTGCTGATGCGGCTTTTGCACCATGATTTTGTCCTCTTCTGATTATCTTTCAAACATTTAATCGATGATTGATAATTAAGATGTGAGCAATACTCTCTCCCGTTTTAACTATAAGTTGCTTCTAATATTTTTATTTAACCTCATTAACTTTATTTCAAAATTTAATAAATTTTTAACTTTATTTCTATTCAATATATATATAAAAAAAATAAAATATTTAATATTTAATAACATTCCCAATATATAATAAAGGCGGAAGGACAAAGATGGATACAATGATAATTGGATAAACATAACTTTTAGTCTCTCTTTGTTATTTGCGTTTTGCTTTTGATCCCTATATATTTTTGAATGTTTTAGGTTTCTATACTTTTGTTTTTCATTATTTTGAATTTTTTAAAGTCCATATACTTTGCTCATAGAGGGATCAAAAATAATAAAAAAAATTATAGGAACCTAAAACATAAAAAAAAAATATAAAGACCAAAAGCAAAACACGAGTTAAATATAAAAACTAAAAGTTATGTTTATCCATAATAATTAATGTATCCTATAAAAAGGATCAAAATCAATAATTTTCTTGCAGTATAAGTTGTAAATAGGACTAGAGAAGTAATCAATAATCAATAATTAATATATATTCCAATGATCATAATATGCTCCACCTTACTCTTGAACCATTCTCCAATGGATCTAGCAGTAGTGTACAGTAATTCATGACCTCGATGCATTTTCCTTTGCCCCCATGTGTTCTTGTCTCTATTACAGATCTGAAATCTCATATTTTTATAGTCAATGATTCAAATTTAATCAACAATTTTTTTACATTTGAATAATACTGTCATAAATTTTCATTTTAAATCATTCAATGATGGAGATGAAGTTGATGAGAAGTCAGTGGAGAGTGGAGAGAATTAGGGTTTATTTGGCAACTTGTTATACCAATAGTTAAAAATAAAAAAATCTGTTTAATAATGTACTTTTAAAAAATATTTTGAAAAACAAAAAAAATAAATATTATTTTGAAGAGTAGAAAATAAAAATATTTTTTAGATACTCTATAATTGTTGTTGTGAAAAACAAGGAGGATGCAAAAAAAAATTATTTTCATTATTTTTTTAAAATATATTCTACAAAACACTAATTTTTAAAATAATAAATAAAAACAATTTGTAGAAAGCTCTTTTCATCTCAAAATGTGGTTCATGGTGACTTCAGCTTCTCAGTTCCCCCAGAAAGATATTTCTTTCTCTGTTAAAAAATATATAATATTTTTAATCAAATTTTATCCCTAATAAAATAATTATTTCCTTTTTAACTAACTCTATATTTTTATATTTATCTCTATTAAATACTCTAACATAAGTATAAAGTCATTATTAATAGAGTCACTTTTGAAAAAAAAGTAATAATTACACCTCGAAAGACTAAAAATGCCTTATATCTTTGAATATCTAACTCTTCAAAAAATGTCTTATATTTTTGAACGGAGTAAGATAAAGTGTGAAAAGATTTAAAAAATAAAATATTTTTACTCGTTAAACTTTCATTAAATCATCCATTTATAGTCCTTAAATTAATATTTACTCAAAGCAATTTAATTTTAAATTGTAGATCTTGAAGAATTGAATCGCTTTGAATCAATAAAGTAAATAAATAGATAAATTAAATTGTCCGAGAGACAAAATTTAGAGTGTGAAAAATAAATAAGAAAAAAATATTAAGGATAGAAAAGTTATATAAGGCCATGTACATGTGCCGTACCAGAAACTTCGAATAATATGATTTGAATTCTTCCCTGTTGTGAGCAGCATCGCTTTATTAAAAAAATAGAGTGAACAAGATCCTTATATATGATGAGATCTGTGTATGTTTTTTTTTCCCCGGTGAATAGATCAATGTTCATTTACAATTGAGATTAGATGTTTTTGTTTTTAAAAAAAACCAATATTACTGCGTTAATTTTTTAAAAATAATTTAAGTTCAAATTGCTAATAAAATTGGCCTAATTCAATCCGCTTTGAAATAGAGGCCTAATAGAGGTTAAATTGGCCATCTAAATTAGTTTAGAACTAGGGATCAAGACTAAAAAATGTACATGTCATTGAATTAGTTAAGGAACTTATTTAAAATTAATGTTTTGTAATTGAATTACTTTCAATAAAATGAAACATGTTAATAAGAAAAAATTGTAATTAAATTGTAGTTAGACTGATTATGAATTAGCTACTCCCTCTAATTTAAAATATAAGCATTTTTCTTAACTAGATTTGATCTAAAATATACAAATTTAATTTAGTATTTGTGAAATAAATTTTTCCCAGTTTTATCTATTCTGTTCATTTCTATGATAAACAGTGAAACTTGTTTCTGAATTTATATGCTTTTCTCTCTCTCGTCATCATCATACATTGGAAGTAAATCCGTTCACAAGCTAACCCATCGGAGATACCTTGAGGAATCGAGAAGGAAACGTCACCTCAATTTAAAAAAAAAAAAAAAGGGAAACTTATCTTCCTGTGTTTGTGGGCTTGTATATATGAATATGAGAATGCCAAGCCGTGTGGGAGTCTTGAGGTTGTACGTATATTCGATTTCGGCGGCTCAATCTTGTTTTTTTATGACAAAAAATTAATCAATCGTGTTGAACCTTTGTTTCGGACCATAACATGATTTGACTGATTGTATCATACGGTGAAAATAATCCAGAGCTTATATCTTCCTATGGATTTCACTCTCACATACGCACATGATTCTGTCGTGTCGATGATTGATTTCCTGAGGGGGTTGGGGGGCCCATCGTCATATGCGACGTGGGCCTATAAGCTATAGTTGATCTCTGACGTTTCAGATCGAGCACGTCGCCATTACACTAAGTGGAGGAGAAAGCTTTCTGAAAATTTCTATGTCGAAATGGAGAAGAAGACATCTTGGGTCTGTACGGTTGTTACACAGGTTTCTCTCTGCTTTGCTCTCTACATAGCTCTAAACTTGGGACGTCCTCCGAAGTTCATATATGGACGCACCTCTCTTGATTTGTACTTCATCAGTGTGAAAGGAGGCTTCAGACCGCTTCAACAACAATTAGATCTACTGAAACAGGTAGTTTTTTGTCCCCTCCTCATTTTTCTTTTGATTTTGGAATTGGGTCCATTTCTCTTTCTTCAGCTGAACCAAGTGCATCATTGGATAAAGAAATTTACTCTTTCATACTTGATACCAGTTCTCTGCTAAGCCTGATATAGTATGTTGAAGCTGATTTTTATTTGCAGCAAGTTTTTGAATCATATAATATAGACTTTTCGAAGTACATTTGCCTTTCTTCCCACTTTACTGCGTTACCCTTTAAATTTTATGATCGACCTGGATGCAGAAAAGTGTTGTATATGGATATGCAATTTAACTGTTACTTTAAAGAAGTCCCACCTGTTTGTTGAAATGCATGAACCAGATATTCAGATTCATCTCCTTATCTTTTCCTTCATTGACACATTGGAATCTATAGTCTCTTTGTTGGTTCAACTAATTCTGGTCTAGCCTATATCATTGCTCCCCCTCCCAAAAAAAAAAAGAATAATAATAATTTTGTCGTTCATGAAGATGGAGAAGGTGGCAAAGACTTACAGAGCAAGTTTTCTCGTGAGCAGCAGTGAGCTTGGGGAAGATGATCCACTCTTTCAGAATGTAAGATCATTATCTTTACAGGACCACAATCCTCCTCTTTTTGGTCTGTTTTAACTTCCACGAAAAATACTTATGGCCCATTTGTTATGAAAAATGAAATAGAATGAACAGATAAATAACATAAAAGAAATTTATGCATGATAAACATTTCTTGTGTTTCTGATACAATAACAATAACAACAACAACAACAACAATAATAAGGGACGGTTACTGTTAAATTACAATAATAAAAGAAAATAGATATTGCATATCTCCAAATTTTTGTGCAAGGAAAGCTGGAAAGGTGAAAAATTTTCCTATATTGTTAGCAAATTAGGCTTCAGATGTGGTTCTTGAAGTGTTTGATAACAATTTCTTCAACCAGAAAGAGCTTTGAAGTCTGAACCAGTCTGTAATAAGGTGCTGAATTGGAAAAAAATGTTCATGTTTTCTGTTGAAAAAATTGATAGTGAAAACCTAAGGAATTTCAACCAAATCTTTTTCCTTGTTTTAACTAGTTTAACTAACCTTTGAAATGGTTCTCTGATAGTTTGACTGAGATATTAGCTTCTGACTAAAATTGAGGTGCCAAAGATATTGTTTATTTCCTTTTATGAGCATGAAAATAATGAATTATCACTACTTGATCTTTTTTTTAATGGATGTTTGATATTCACTTTAACAAGTGATTATGGTTGATTTTACTTTTAATACAACGACATTCTGGCTCATGGCTCTATAAGCAACCATATATTTTTTTACAGGCTACTCGGCAGCTTCCATCACTGAAGCTTCCCTGGTATATTATCATCTGAGCAATTGGTTCTCTATGTTGGTATATTTGCATGACATGGAAATGATGTCACCAGTTACCACAAAGTCTTGAATACCAATGTGTTGTTTGATCAATTACTTTTCTCGTCAAATCATCTTGATATGATGGTTATGAAAGGAATTCATCTGCAGGTACATCTCGTGCTCCACAAGAACTTCAAAAGGACCAGTAGCAGGGTGCTTTGAAGAGAAGTTCAAAATATCTAATGGGAAGACACTAGATATTATCGGTGTGGATACTGAATTGCTGCAAGTATGTTCTTGTGTGTTCAATATTTATCTGCATTCAGGGCATTTCACTGAAGAATTTCTTGGTAGAGTTGAAGTTAAATTCTGATGTGCTTTCTTGCCTGCTTGTCATACGATGTTTTCATTTTACTGAATTTGGCCATCCTCTGCATCCATCTGACTTGCTGCTCTAGCAATGATGTTTTACCTGCAGGTTTTATTATTCATGCTAGTATTTGATATATCTCTTTTATAAAATGCTAATTTTAGATTATATATATCCTCAAATATGATCTGCATTTGATGTGGTAACGTTATAAGCTAGCCAATCCCACACCCTTGCTTAATTTGGTTGAGATATATATATTTTTTAAGTTCGTTATTGATCAATTTGACATTTTAGTTACAAAAATATCATATAAAGTAAGAGGGCATATCTGTCACAGCAAAATGTGTGTGGGGTTGGGATGGGGAGTGCATGGTGTGAAAAGAAGCTTTCATGAGCTCTTTAGGTTTTAGTATCGAGTCTTTTCTTTATGGTCACTTGCTCTCCTAATCTTAATTTTTTTATGCCGAAGATGGTAACGGACTTGACTAACTGAAAAATGTCCAAATTGACTTTGAATAGCATCTAGCTGGCACTTGGTGTCAGCAGGTTTATAGTCTAAAGCAGAAGATTACCTAATCATATTTTTTTGGGTGAAAACCTTACCATATGGATTGGCAATGAATATAATAATCTATTAATTTTTCATCCTCAGTCAAATTAGTAAGTGCTGCAATTTTACTGAGATTGTTACACTTGAGGAAGAAATAAGATAGCCTAGTTTCTACCTGGTATACATGTCACTGTGCTGACGCTCCTTTTAGCTTCTGTTACTTTTGTTGGCTTTCTAGATTATTATTTGTTAGACTTAGCCGCCACCGAGGTCATCAAGATTCTCAGGCAAAACTAATTCCTTGCACGTTATGAAATAGAAATTACCTTTTCTTTCAAATGTGAGGTTATTTACTTAGTTTCTGATTTCATATTGGTTCAGTCTAAGTTGTGCATAAAAAATCACAAAATTTCTTTTTTCCTCCCTATTGGTTTTGCTGCCCGAAAGAAATTGTACCTTCTTGATTGTTATTAAGCTTTAATATATTCCTCTACTATGGTTTTGTTTTCTCATGCAGAAGGAATTTGCATTGAGGGGATCACTAAGTGGTGACAGGAAGAATCAGTTGCATTGGATGATTAGGACGCTAGAAAGAAACGGTAGTAACTGGTATGGCCGGTCTTTATACTTCCGCTGTGTATGAAGTTAGCATTTAGGTTATGTGTAATGGGCATATGACATAACAAATTTTTGTTAGTTTGCATCAATTTAATCCTTATAAAACTTGAGATTTTATGTATTTAGTTAAGATAGGCTTCAAATGGATCAATTTATTGCTTTAATGCTCAAACAAAGAAATCTTGTCTACGAGCTCTTTCTTTCCCCCCTTCTCCAAACATATACAATAATAATTGTTAACTCCGCCTTTGTTTCATAGTAGATCCCAAGCCCAGATAATAAAGAAAGGTTGTGTTAGGCCCCCACAACTATCATAAAACTCTATCGAATTCACATAGACGTGGACCTTAGAAGCTTGATGTTGACTTCTTGTTGTAGTATACAATGATAATTGTTATTCTAATAGTTGATGAATTACAATTTCAGGCGCATAGTTGTTGGGTACCAGCCACTGGTGGTTTGTGGAGAGAATAATGAGCAGATGGAGAGACAAGAGGTTTTCAACCATCTGCGTAGAATATTTCAGAAACTTGAAGTAGTAAGTCTTTATGCAGTCATCAAGTGTATGATGCCTTCACCGTCTCTCATCTGACTAAACCAAATATTACTCTTCAGAACGTGTACTTGAGTGGCCAAGATTGCACTAGCCATACCCAAGAAAGCAGTGTAGCTTACATTGGGAACCCTGGCCTGAATCAGAAAGAAGAACCCTATTCATTTTTTGTCGATGGAAGCTCTTTACATAGTCGGTGAGTACCACTCTTCAACCTCTGCTTTTGGTCATGGGCAAGGCTTAGGTACACCTTTTTAGCTATTTGCCATCATGTTTTCTCATAAGGATAAGACAAATGAACATTTTTGACGACTCAATGCCCATGGGGGCTGGACTCTCAACAAGTTTCTTGCACATGTTATGTCTCTATCAGAAAACTTGATACCAGGCATCTAGACAACTTTACCCTAACTTGACACCTGCTATTTGGTGCCTACTTATGAAATTTTCCTTTTTCTTTTGGCTCTTTTAGAGAATTGGCTGATGGGTTCCTTCTTCACAGAGTCAGCCCAATGCAAATTGTGAGTATCAAACTTTCATTCATGAGTTCTTTCTGAAGAAACCTAGTGATCTAGATATTCTGAATTATTCCCTAATATTTTTGGCATTGCTTTGATCTACTAGTCCATACATTAAAGATATTTGGCCAATTGAATCATGTTGTGCACGGAGAGATTCATGCATAGGCAGATTTGTTATATCTACGATATGTGTGTCAAAAGTAGGTCCTAGCCTTTTGTTTGGATGAGGAGAAACATAGAAAGGAAGGAAAATTAGGAGATAAAACTTCTAAAAATAGTTTTAAAAAAAATTACTAGTTTTGGAACTTTCTACTCCTAGATTTTTTTCCTCACTATTTTCTTCCCACTTTTCCTTCTATGCAAATCAAGCCTGAGGAAAAGCGCTCTGTTCATAATAGATATATGCTACATGCTTCTCTATGATCTGTTACCTGTATCATTCTTGATAAAAGGTTTACCTAGGAACTAGATTGGATCATATACATTGCATAGAATGCAAGGAGTAAATTACACAATCTCGGCTTATAAATAGTGTTACTTGCTACAGAATTTATATTCTACAATGATATTGATTTTTCTCATGCATGTCATGACTGTTTGAAGTTGCATCTTCTCATGGCAGGTAACCTACTATATCACTTCATCAGGTGAAGTTGCATATAAAACTGTACTGCAACAGAAGGGAAGAGAAATCATGTAAATATACCCAGTTCGTGATCCATTGCGATTTGTACTCTTTCAAGCCTAGATTGCCTTGAAGCCCTAATTTTCTATTCCATTTTCATTATCATATTTCCCATTTTGCTTCTCAAACTGCAAGAAAGCTTTCCACTTTGAAGTTCATTCTTTATATGCGTTCAAGGGCTGTCGCGAGGAATAATTAGGTGGTTGATTATTCAGCTTGAAGTAGTTCTGATGAGTTTTTTAGCGTTGCAGAACTTTACAACGTTTAGTTTGAGATTCTTGGCCAAGAAATGTTAAAGAAGTGCTCGAGATTCATTTGCACGAGGCCAGAATCGTAATAAAGATGTAGACTATGGGCCAGTTTGATTTCCGTGTATAAAAATCGTTTTCTACGTTTTTAAAAATAAAAAAATGCATAAGTAAAGTAAGTATTTTGGATTTAAATGTTTTTAATGTTTTTATGTTTTATTTTCAAAAACAAAAAAATAGGAGCATCTTAGAGCTAATTTCATTTTCTTTTTTTATTTTTAAAATATACTGTATTTTTTTTTGACCAAAAAAAATACTGTATTTGATTATCATAAATTACTTTCACGTATAGTAAACTATTATATTCACTACTATAGTATTATTAACCATGGATGACCACTGGTATCATCTTAGAGTCAGTACTATCAGCTAATATTTTAACTTTACAATTGTCTTCAAATTAACATAATATATCCTGAAACTGGAAAAAATTTATTTTATAAAATAATTTTAATTATACTTCTAAATTGTTCATATCAAATTTTAACTGGTTAAATTTATTTATTTACTATTTAATATTTTTTTATTTTAAATTATAAGACACTTTAAATAAAATTTTATATATTAATAAACTTTGCTAAATACACGTCATAACTTTATTTTTTCAAAATAAAAATATAAATTTTAAAAATATTTTAAATTTAATAATCATAAATTTACACTTAAAGTGTATTTGGATTAAAAAATTTATAATTGAGGTTAGGATTCAATTGAGGTTAGCAAATTGAGGTTAAAGAAAAAGTTAGTTAATGTAAAGTGATTTATGTTTGGATATCTTTTGTTTCAGAAGTCAGTTAGGTAAATTAAAATTTGTTTGGATGATTTGATTCAGAAGCCAATTGAAATATTTAATGGCAAAATTAAGCATGAATTTTTTGTATATATTTTTTGACTAATTAATAAATAAAAAATATTGAACTTAAAAATCAAGTTTTATACAATTTTAGTTTTATATTAGATATACAAAAGTAATAATTTATTATATATATATTCATTAAAAGCAAGACTTTTTTTTAAAAAATGCACTCTAGTTTTATCCAATTTAAATTTAAATTTAAATTTAAATAAAAAAGGCCAACACATAATAACTTTCCTTGGGTATTTTAAAAAAGGCCAACACGTAATAACAACTATCAGTGAAGCAGTGGCAATGAGAGTAAATAAGGGTAGAAGCACAATCACAAAAACAATGGCAACGACAATTGAAATTTGTGAAGCAGAGGGCGAAAAGTTTTGACGATGACGACAAGGTTGTAATAGACTATGAGCAATGGTGGACCACAAGAAGTGCAGATTTAGTGGACCACAGTCAAGATCAAGAGGCGACAGCTAGGAGAACTACACTTTTAGAGCAGGGACACATTGGATGTAAGAAGGGATGACAGAGTTCAAGATCGACCGGAGGTCACCATGAACAACCCACAAGATGGAGATCGGTTGGTGAAGACGGCATCACTAATGAGCAACACAAATAAGGGAGGTCATAGGAGCAAGAACAACCACGCACGCAAGGAAGGTGAAGCAAATTTGGAGCCTTGTCACGAGCTTAGAGTCTGGCGTAGCACACAGCGCCTGTGCGGTGTCCCGAGGACCCCATAATCCTCGAAACCAGCCTTACAACATACGAATCCCACTGGTTTTGCCCTGCCATAGGCTCATCAGGGAGTCGGCACTAGCCCCTGACCAGTTGTACATTTAGCCAGAAGACTAAGGCAGAACACACTCAAATGCTAATGTCACCCCCTTTTCATATATTGTGCGAGGCCCTGACCAGTTGTACACTTAGCCCGAAGACTAAGGTAGAACACACCCAAATGCTAATGTCACCCCCTTTTCCCATATTGTGCGAGGCTAACCAGCGGATCGTTCATTATATTGGTCTTTACACGGTCACAAAAATGTCATTCGTGACATTCTCTCCCACCCAATCTAGCACGCCTTCGTGTTAGGGGAGAAAGACTCTGCCCAAAGATCGCCCCGTACAGTACTGCCACACACATATCAGCTCACTGCTGAATGGCCACCCTAGTCCAGCACCATTCGAACCCACTCGCACCAGCGAGCCATCAGGAGCGGAGTAGACCACAGCCTACCTTCCCGCCCGAGTCCCCACTTTTGGACTCGAGTGTCCATTCAGTAATCAGCTGATGTGTGTGTGGCAGTATTGTACGAGCGATCTTTGGGCAGAGTTTTTCTCCCCTAGCATGAGGGCATGCTAGATTGGGTGTGAGAGAATGTCACAAATGACATTTTCGTGACCGTGTAAAAACCAATATAATGAACGATCTGCTGGTTAGCCTCGCACAATATGGAAAAAGGGGGCGACATTAGCATTTGGGTGTGTTCTGTCTTAGTTTTCAGGCTAAGTACACAATTGGTCGGGGGTTAGTGCTGCCTCCCTAATAAACCCATGGCAGGGCGAAACCAATGAGATTCGTATGTGGTAAGGCTGGTTCCGAGGATTATGGGGTCATCAGGACGCTGCACGAGCGTTGTGTGCTGCGCCAGACTCTAAGCCCATGACATGGATCTCAACTAAAGAGAGAGCATAAAAATTTAAAAAGCATTTAATGCTTTCCAACGAATCGACGCTAACGTGAATGGAGAAGCCAAGTCTCATGGCTTCAGAAAAAATGTTCGTTGACACCCTAACTTCAATTAACATTTTCTGCTCATCCAAACAATATTTTTTGAACTTTTTACACCCTAACCTCAAAATATGCACTTAATTAGTATTAAATAAAAAGAGAAATGATAATATTGAAATAAGTCTACTTAATGAAATTTTAATCTTCTTAAAGTGTCTTATATTATGAGATAATAAATTTCCCTCAAAAGTTTCTTATAATTTGGGATGAAGGGAGTATAATAATAATGATGATGGTGATAATGATGATGATGATGATGATGATATCTTATATTTAATCTCAATCATTGAAGTTGAAATTCAAGGATGAGGAATATAAGGAAGGTAGAAGGGAAGGCAACTCCATTCAATACTTTCAATTGTTAATTTAATAATATTATTATCCTTTCTGATTCCCACCCCTACAAGAAATTAACCACTAGAGGAAGAGCTCTTTTTCTTGTTAGAAGATGTCTAGGCAAGACATTGGCACTCCTGTGACTGTAAGTATATGAAAGCCTTGCACAGCACCTGCGCCTTTCTTGGCTTCTTGCCAATGAATCAGCACAACAAATTGAGTTTCTACTGGTGAAGATGATTTCAACCTCTTCCAATTGACAGTTTCTTATCTGGTGTACTTCTGACATGAGCTGATGATGTGGAGCACATTCCCTCAAGATTAAGTTTAATCACTCGAGTGAATCAGTGTGAATTAACAGATCCATCTATATTAAATCTAAGGTAATCTGAGTGTGGCGGTTCTCATAAATCTTGCCCACAAGGTTCCAAGCAGTAATTTTTTTGTCTATGATTCCTAGCCTTTTCATTCTCCAATAGGCCATGTTTACAAATTTATATCACTTCCATAACAATTCACACTCTTCCTTGAAACAAGCATGCATCTTGCTTTCCAAAGGCCCCAATATTTGTAGCAGAATGCCTTGTGCCAGGGGGCAGGGTCATCTTTTGAAAGATCCTGCAGCAACTTCATTTTTTGCATTTTACTTCAGTCAATCCTGCAGAGGTAAACCAAAGAACTTCTGTACAGAGTTAGGATTGATACATTAACGCCACACCTCCCCAGCAATTTTACACTCAGGACAATTATCATTCCATGTAAGGCTTCTTTTTATTTTATGAGAGTTAGTTAAAATTTTCTCTTGGTTTTCTTGTTAAAGAAAAAAATTTTGCTTTTCAAGAATCTTCTATTAAACCTGATTACTCAGAAATTCATAGGCAGCTTTTACAGAAAACTCTCCATGACAAGCATTAACCCAACAACCTTTCCGATTTTCTGCAAACGATTTAGCCAATGTTGAGAAAGTACGGGACCCGTCAACAAAACGCCAAGACAGTAACGGCAGAATGACGAAACTGCCACCGTTTTCTTTTCGTTGCAAACGAATAACACGAAGGGCCGGGTTGTCAAGAGGAAAAAAAAATCCATTATTTAAGTGCTTGCCGCTCGTTTGAGGGAAATTAGGGTTTTCTCCATCCACACTCCATATTAGAATGAGGCCGACTCTCTGAACTTCAGTGTTTCACACTGAAATCTCAGGGACGAGCGACCTGTGATTTTTCCGAAACCCTTGAGTATCATCATCATCATCATCATCTCCTCTTTCTCTCTCTCTATCTATGTATGTATCTATGTTCCTTTACTCGCTTTCTTGTTCTATGTTTCTTTTCCCTTTTTCCTCTCTCTCTCTCTCTCTCTCTCTCGCTCGCTCGCTCTCCCCCCTCCCACTGTGGCTGTGATGAAGGTTTCGGAGTGTGGAGGGATCAGCAGACTTGAAAACAAGGCTTGCCGTTGGCGGGGCGATGCTATCGGATGGCCTCCTGGTTGAAATGGCTCTTTTGTCAGTTTCTCCACGAGGAAACCGATTTTTTTTGCAGCCCGGGAGCTCTTGCTTTTCGCCGATGCATCCCATACTGATGACCTGAGCCTCCTTAAGGAAATAAAAGTTACCGCTTGTCTTCTTTTTTACAAAGTTGCTTTTCTTTAGAGCTTTTCTTTTGTTACACACTTTCGGCTGTCCCCTGTTTCTAGCTGAGAAAACCCATAGAAGATGGTTCAATACCTGTGTCGTCGATTTTAAGGTCATGTTTGGTTGGGGATGTTTGGAACGAGGGAATGAATGTGTCAGTGCGATTACATTGGAACACTTTCTTTCGTTCGTTCCAAACATCATCTAGCAAACACAGCTTTATTGAGTTGCAATGTGTTGGTTCTGGGACTTCCATTGTCTATAGTAAAATCCAATCTGGAGTCATGGTTTGGGTGGAAAAAATTCTTGGATCCCAAGTCTGTTCTCTCTTTGGATGCCGAGAAAGCCCGTTGAGTATGTCCACCGACTCCGTTTTTAAGGTCATGTATGGTTAGGGATGTTTGGAATGAGAGAATGAACGAATCAGTCCAATCACGAGACACTTTCTTTCATTCTTTCATTCCATACATCATCTAAGCAAACATAACTTTAATCAATTTCCTGAGAAATGCTGCTGTGGTAAGTTCATTTATTTGGAATGTTATCAAGCTAAAAGAAAAGGTTTAACTTGGACTCAAATTGGTTGCAAAGTGGAATCATCATTCATAATTTATGTACTGGGAGTTTGGAGAAGAGAGAAAGAAGAGGATCCGACTCATTAATATTGAACTTAGATATTAACCGTTCATGCATCTTGGATAAAGAACGTAAATTGTTAAACTTCTGTCCTGTATTAATATCTAATAATCTAACATAAATGTACTGTTTTAATAATTGTCTTGTGTGAACTAGCACCTGATGTATTCCTTAGAGATATCCTACAACAATTGAACTGATGCTAAGGAATGAAATTTGAAGAGCTAGGTCTTTAATATGGTCTAAATAAACATCACAGTGCAGCTTTAAGCATACCAAAGACCACAATGGCCGTTATAAGCAGATCACGAACGGCTGCATTTGTAGAGGCAGCTGAAGAGGGTGCTGGAGGTGCATTCGACGTTGAAGTGGAAGCAGCGGGCCCAGGGTCGGCTTTTCTTGCACTGTTTAGTGCTGGAAGTGGTGGGTCGGTGACGTTTTGAGCTTGAAGAGGTGGAAGTGGTGCTTCTGCTGGTGGCCTTGCTTCGAGAGATAGGGAGTTTAGTAGGTCACCAGGGTTGGCTGCGATGAAGGAAAAACTGTGTTTTGGAGGATTAGGATTGCTACATGGGCTCCCTGCATTTAGACAAGGGCAATATATCATGAACTTTTGTTTATCTTAACGCTTGTAAGGGTTTTTTTTTTTCCTTTGGTAGTGTGAGAATTTGTATTTGGTGGGACGAAGAAAGCCAAATAGATTGGAAATTCTTACTCATATATCTGCTGGCTGTGGCTGGAAATGCTGTTACGATTCCTTCAACTGATGCAATTTGGACTAGACTAGCAACCTCCATGTAAGGATCTGAGAAATAGTCAAATGCTAGGGAGATGTACTCATTTTTCAAAAGATGGACTAATACTGTGAGGTTGGCGTCTTTCATTTCTTTAACAACATTTGTCATTCCGGTAGTGAAGGAATCAGATGTTGTTATGATAGATCCTTTTGGAAGGTTCACTGCGTTTGCATATTTCTTGATTTCCTGGACTGTCGGCCCCGGTGCATCACCTATTTTATCTTCAATTAGAAGAATCCTTTTGTAAGATTGGATATCCTTAAACTTGGATAGTACTGACGTATCATCTGATTGGATCATAACTACTTGTGTGGATTGCTTGTCAAACGTTGCATTGCTTAAGGCAGTGCTGACATTGCCAACAATGTCAATACCCTTGTTTGATGCGAGATAGGCAGCATTCTGTGAAACAAATGAAGATGTTTAGTAAAATTTGATATTTTTTAAGGAGAAACATTGCAGGTGGTAGGGTAGTTGCATACCTGTATGTTTATCAGAATGCCAGAAACTGCCTTTGCCTTGGCAATATCCAAAAATTCAGAGAGGGTGACTAGCTTACCGCTGTTTTTGTTTATTGGGTTTCTTTGAAAGCCATCGTTGACGTAAGGGCTAACAATTTGAGCTGAAACAAGAAATCAGTTAGTGCGGGTTATGTTTTTAAATCTGATCCCATGACTAGATTTGTATGTCAATTGTAGGTTTCATAAAACATTACGTTTTAAAGTCTGAATCTCGCTCCATGTAAGGTCAAAGGAGAAGATACCACTTTCAGATTGAATTTCGGGTACTTCGGAAGATTTAGGCATGAATTGACTCACTGCGGAAGTAGATGCCATTAGGTCGGCAGTATCAGAGCAGAAGGCAACTCCATCTTTTGTCATTTGAACTGAGCAATCTATAATGTCGGCCCCGTCATTTATTGCTTGCTGATATGCAAGATCAGTGCTTCCTGGATAAACACCACTTGCTCCATCTCTGCTGATGACCAAAGCTTGCCCTGCAAAATCAAATGATGTTGATATTGTTGTAATATAGCTTGTCTGTACTTCATCTTATCTGAGGCTTTGATTTTGATCATTTCAAGATTGGTATGATACCTTTTATAGGCTTGGCGGTGTTATATGCCAAGCATGCTGCAGACATAAAGTTATGGGAGTTAGACTTTATCTCAGTTGGTCATGAGTTGGGTCTCTCTTGGTTGTGCTATGGCAAAAAAGATTAGCAAAGGATCAAAGGTTTATCATCTTACCTATGGCTGCTGATGCTGTTGGAGGGAAATCAGTGACGAAACCATCAACAGAAGCGCTATTATCTAAAAATTGCAGGTACTCAACAGCAGGGTCATAGGTGTAGTTATAACTTGCAATGAAATCGTTAGCGAAACCGGACGCATACACTTCCAGTCCCAGTTTATGGGCATCAGCTACGAGTGTTGTGGGAGGCCCCAAATATCTGTCTGGTTTGATTGGCCATATATATTCTTTTGGAACCATGATCCCTGATGCAAATAACTTGACTGTCGCAAGATCCTTGGCTATGGAACTGTATATCTGGTTGGTCGAGGGTTCAACTTCATTAGCGTCAAGAAATTGGAAGATGACCTTTGTAATAGCCTTGTTCACTCTCCCATGGATGCTCTTCAAGAAACTAATCTCTGGAGATGAAACGAAGGGTATGCTTGAAGAACTCAACGTTTTCATGACAAAATCTTCCATCTTTATTCCACGCTGGGTGTAGAATGCTGCATACTGCACCAGCTTGGTCAATTACATTAATCACTTTTAAAAAGCCTGTGTAAGAGTCTATGAGAGTATGACCCACTTTGCATTAAGATGTGGGGAGAGAGAGAGAGAACCTGGACATTCAACCAGAGCTTTGGGGGTTCACTCTTTATTATGTCATCAAGAGTGGCGATTGGATACAGACCGTCATACGAAGGGGGTCGGGAGTATATTGCTTGATTCACTGTGGACGAGGTGGCGAGCAGTAAGTTGTCACGTTCTGACTTATTATAAACTGGTATGTATAGTTGTATACACTGTAAGCCTTGTGTTTTTATTTTCTGCTCCCAAACTCACGTAAGTCGTATGTTACCCTTAAGCCTACTTAATTCTAGATTATGAGTTTTCCCTGGATCTAAAAGGAAAAAGAATAACATTGGTTTCTTTTGTCTAACATCCTCTATTTCTTTTAGCAATGGGAAAATGAATCTGTATTGATGACTCACATTGCACATTTTCTGCTAGCTGTTTTGCTGTGTAATCCACTGAGAACCATGCAGTGAGATTCTTGCTGTTCACAACGTAGGTTTTCTGGCCTTTAGGATCGAATTGTGCTATGTTGGTTGCATTGTCAAGCCTAATATCTGTCAGACACAAACCAACCCATCTTTTGTGATCTGAAGATTGCACAAGATTACCACATCCAGCAAACTTGAGTCCATTCCAATTTCAATTGCAAATTGCGAGCCTTCTGGGAAAACCCCAGATAACCCACCTCGGGCTACTACAAGTGGTCGTCTCCCTGCAAGTGACGTAAGAAAAGCATCAATTACCGTGATGTTTATGGTTTTTTTTTTTTTGGGGGGGATATGCTTGGTATCCAGATTCTTAATTTACTGAACATAATGAATTAGCTGGGAAATCTGAACCCATGAATATTATTAATTCACGTAGGTCTAAAGTGAGCCATATTATGACAATTTATTAATAGTTGGGTAATATATATAGACACAGATATATATATATATATATATATTTTTTTTTTTTTTTGCCAACAAGATACATAGATATGTTACCATGAGATTTCACAGAAACATTTTTAAGAAATTTATAACAAGCCCGAGAAAATGAATAATTTCCTGAAAAAAATTGAACAAATCCCCATGCTAGATGCTGTCTAAGGGAAAGATGTGAAACAAAATCCTTGGTTACCATTTAATGTTGACCATGTCTGGGCAGAAGCAGCAGGAGGCTGTGGGTTTGCAGGATCACTTGGATTTGCGGTGCTCTGGGCTACTGTTGTTTGGATGAACAAGGAAACTAAAAACAAGTTTATGATCATATTCTTAACCTGTCACAATTTAAAATCGAAGTCAATTTAAATCATGAACAATTTGAGAGATTCTAGGAATTGTCTAAATGTTCCAAAAAAATAAATAAATAAACAGCAACTTGGTTCATAATTGTATAACGTCATGTTGTCTTAAATTTCTTTGTGCCGTTTTCAGTTGCTTGTATATATGTTTCCAGAGATCTATTGTTTCACAACATCATTAAATGGCAAGATTGAAAACAAATCAAATTGCATCAGAAGAATAGAATCCATTGTGAAGAAGCTGATGCCAATTCACTTTTTACATGATCCAACTGGAAAACTGTCAAGCATTTGATTACATGCTAGAAGTATCATAAATAATGAGACAAAGAAAAGGGTTTTGAATCATAATTCCCAGAAATCCATACAAGTAATCCTTCTCTGTTTTGCTGTTTGAAACAGGCATTCCACCAGGTTGCAATGCAAGCACTCAAAGAAAGTGACGAAAGAAATAAAATTGATGAGTAAGAATTGAGTTCCCCAATTTTTTTTATTTTTTCTAACTTTCTTCCCCCGACGCATTTCAAGCTTAAATTTTCTGGTCAGGATTTCTTATCAGTTGTTTGTTTAATCGTTTGCTATATTTGGTTAGTCTTACTTTATTCTTTAAACGAAACTTGATTTGCTGAACCTGAATGTGAAAATATACTTAAGTAGTTTAATATATAAATCAAATTAACGAAGAGCATTGATTTCATATTTCGTGTAAACAGTATATTTTATCCATCAAATCGACTTGATCCAATTAGCGTTACTCACTCAAATCCCAACTAAACTTCAGGTCGTGGGGGCAAAAAAAATACACACCAAACTATCTCAGCGTTTACCCACCCCCCCCCCCCGGTTTTTATGTAAATCAGATATATCTTCTCATATATTATACCGAATTTTAAAATAAATTATATTAATTATGATTTCTAAATAAAATAACTCATATATATATATATATATATACTGATTTAATTAATAAAAAATTCAATAAAGTTAAAGGATTAAATTAAAATGTAATGTAGAAGGACTAAAATAAATACCTTTACCCTTAAAACTTTATGTTTGCAAATAAAAAAAACAAACGGAAAGTGTAGATTATGAGAAACATGAAATTTAAATTTAATTATTGTTAATTTATTAAAAAAGCTGAATCATTCTAAATAAATAGTGAAGATTCTAATTATCTAAAAAATGTATTTTAAAAAAAGAACTCTTTTTCTCATACAGTGAAATAATCTTTAGTATGCCCAAAAAAAAAAAACACCACCACCACACAAACAACAAATAATCTATAGTATACAGACACAATAAGACGACGATGTCTTTTGGTGAAAATAGAAAGACTTTTGGTAGCTGTTAATTACAGAATGAATAAGACGATTACCTTGGGAAACAAAAATAAAGAAAGAAAAGAAAAGAACGAATAAGGCAAAAAAATGACGGGAACAACTCAACAACCGAAGAACGACAGTATTCTGTTGTTGCTCCCCCCCCAAAAAAAAAAAATGACGGGTTTCCGTTCTTTGACGCCAAAGGTTGCTACTTTACATTTACAAATCAAAATCACCAGCCCTGTCGACTCCGTTTTTAATTGACGCCAGTTCAAGAGTCCCACTGATCCCAAATGCTCTCAGCCGCAGGGGAACAGGCCCACCGCCATTCGAAGTGGGAATGGAATAATATCGTTACTGTATGAATAGTTTTATTCGATCGCTTCCTTTTTTTTTGTACGTACATTTCTAATTTAGCTCTCTCCGTTACCGACTACTACGAAGCGCAAGAGAAACGTACAGAGAAAAGGGGAAGAGATGAAGATCACAGCATTGCTGGTGCTTAAATGCAGCCCCGATGGGTCCGATCCGGTTATACTGGCCAATGCTTCCGATGTAAGCCACTTCGGCTACTTCCAACGCTCCAGCGTCAAGCAGTTTATCGTCTTTGTGGGTCGTACCGTTGCCAAACGCACCCCTCAGGGCCAACGCCAATCTGTCCAGCACGAGGGTTCGTCTTGCTCCCTCATTTGGATGTGCTTTTAGGGTTTTAAGGCGTCCAATCTCTAGATTTCCCCCTTTTTTGTTGGAGCTCGGATGATGGGTTTTGTATCGCTTCCGGGAAAAGAGTTGGCCCCCTAGGTTTTTGGGTTATTGATTGCTTTATTGATTCATTTCAATTGGTGGCAATATCCCCATACTGATGAAGTTTCCTGGATTTCTCATGAATTATGGATTTGTTTGTGCATTTGGGTATCCATTATGAAATGAAAACATTGCTGTTGCCAAGATTTTTTTAAAAAAATAAAAAATCCCAAATAAAACTTGTGGCTTCTATTCCAGCTCTGTCCATTGAGAGAAAGCTTAGTTGATGTTTGGCCGGGTTGGGAGACAACAAAATAATTAGAATTATTTTTTTCTAGACAGCATTAATCTTCAGTGTTAGGTAATCTTAACTTTTTGATGGGCAACATCAATTTCTTTTTGAGTATGTGCTTATTCTCCTCTAAGAAAAAGTGAGTTGATTCTGATCTAATTTATGTTTTTTTCTTCCAGAGTATAAGGTGCATTCGTACAACAGGAATGGCCTTTGTGCATTGGGATTTATGGATGATCACTACCCTGTTCGAAGTGCATTTTCTCTTCTTAATCAGGTGAGTTCAATGCGGGCTTTTCAATATATAAATGAAGGAAAATCGCTTGAGTAACTTGAACAGCTTCTATCTGTAATGCCATTGTCCCAGTGATAGGCTGACAGCTATTGATTAAGATATTTCTTCATTTCCTAGATGATCTCAGCATTGGCATCTGTGATCTGACTCATTTACTTTTGATGATTTCAAATAATCGACCTTTACAACCATGGACCCTTCCAGTTACAACCTGTTTCATGTTTAGTCACGGGTCCTTCCGGACTATAAATACTTGGCTCATTTTTCCTTGCAGTGAAAATGCTAATTGTGTTGCTTCCTAGGTGCATGATCAAATATATTGTTTGGTATTTTTAAACCTCAATCAACCTGTGAGGAATTTATAATGATGTTAGGGGTCTCATGTAGTAGATTTTTAGTTGATGGAGATTATATTAAAATATTCCATTCTGAAGTGTTAACGTTAAACACTATTGGGCACATTCAATTTAATCTTGTTCCGTGTTATTAAGCTTCTGATTATATCAATACGTCATGGTTAAGGGGTGACCTTCTATCCTAATTGACCTTCTAGGATGAAATCTGGGTGATTTTCAATTTGTACTTTTTGATATAAATGCAAAGCCATCATTAATACTACTCTTCCTGATATCGACCTTCCTCTTTAAGTTTACTGGTTATTTTACTGTTCAGTTTGGTTACCTCTTCCCCTCGTCTTTTAACCACACACACAAACCCTCATGCATATCTTTCCTTCCATGACTGTGTGCTTTTTCTGTGCTCTGGCCAAGATAACAAGTATTGCTCCATTGGAGAAGGTGATCTGCACCACAACAAATTATTGGTTTCTTGGTGCCCTTTATCCCCACTTGAGTTCACATGACTGCATTTAATAATGTGTGCCTACTGATATCAAATGACTCTATGCAAGTAAATTCTCGCATAGTTGGTGTATGACAAACGGATGAACATTCTGGTCAGGCTTGTTTCGTAACTTTTTCCCTTTAGTATCAAATAATAAATTGAGTGAATATATTTGAACTACAGTCAATACATGTTGGATTGAAATATCTGTTACGTAGTATATAATGTATAACATGTGTAAAATGAATGATAATAAATAATGATGTCTTAATGCTCTTGCAGGTGCTGGATGAATATACTAAAAGTTTTGGTGAGTCATGGCGAAATGCTCAAGCAGACAGTACTCAGCCATGGCCTTATTTGAACGAAGCACTGACAAAATTCCAGGTATCTATGGACCTAATTGTATCAGCTTCAGCTAGAGGGAGGCTTGTGGATTGTGTTAATTATCCAAATAGTGAAGTTTTTCTTTCTCTGTTCTGTACCTTTCAGCACAATATGTTTGAGTCTTGGCTAAAAGCGCTCTTATTCCTGCTTCTGTTAAACCTCAGGACCCTGCAGAGGCTGATAAGTTGTTAAAAATCCAGAGGGAACTGGATGAAACGAAAATCATCCTTGTAAGTATTGAGTAATTTCCAAAATCTATTGATTCCCCGCATTTCTTGTTTACCACGTATTATTATCTTCTGTTTGACTTTTTTTTCCTCCTTCAATTTTAAAGATTTTCTGTTGTGTTATTAGTTATTTTCTATGAGAACTATTTCGATGCTTGAGATCTTGATATTGAATTTGAAGTACATATCATTCTGCTGTTATAGATGATAATAGCTGCATGGATTCATATTGTTGAAGCCATATATAAAATATATAATTCTGAATTATTTCCTTCTCAATGAAATGTTAATCTCTTAGTTTTTATGTGAAGATTCTATAATGCTTCTTATTTGGCTCATTAGTTGCTATCCTATTCTGCATTGCTCTCTTTCTAATTTGCATTCGTTTGGTTATCTGTAACGCTCTGATGCATAGATTTCTGAGAACTGCATGATAGAGACATGATGGAGTTTATATCTTTGACGTTGTTTTGGGCTCACTGTGATTTATTCATTTCTTTTATATACAGCATAAGACTATCGACAGTGTCCTTGCAAGAGGGGAGAGGCTGGACAGTTTAGTCGACAAGAGTTCTGATCTGAGTGCAGCATCCCAGGTAAGATAAGACAGCTCCTGTTTATAAATTATTCGTTTGGGACTAGCCCATGAATGGACACATGCATACTGAATGCAGACAAAGTGAAGGTGTATCTTCCACCCCTCCCCCAAACACCCCCCCCCAAAAAAAAAAAAATCCTGAAGAAATTGAGGGTTTTGTTGGCACTTTATTGGGCCCTCGTTTTTATTGCATGCAGTTAGTCTTTGCTCAGTGGATTTTTAAAAGGGGGAATGGATTTTGTTTAATTTTCACAAATGACCGTGTACGTACTTGCCTATTTGGTTTCATGTATGGTTTTTGTAATTTACAACATAAACCAAACACACACAATATAAGCAGAGACTATTTTTCTCTGTACTTGCTTCTGTTAAGTGGTGACTTATTTAGAGGTTCAATGAGCTCAATCACAAATTGAGTGTTACTGCCATCTGGTTAGTGTGCTGACACAAGAACTTGATTATGGCGTTTGAAACAGATGTTCTACAAGCAGGCCAAAAAAACCAATCAGTGTTGTACCATACTGTAAGTTTTCAAGGTTAATGTTATCCTGTAACGGCACTCACCTACGTGATGTTGAAGCTGCTGTACAAGGGGGAATTGCCTTATATGTCTTCATTGCTCGCGATTGCTTAGTGAAATTGTGTGGATCCTCCCTCTATTCTGCATTGTGGAAAGGAATCTGTTTGGGGATAGAGGTCTTACCATGGTGAAAATATGCTTTTCACCGTTTTGGTGATAAATTATCATTAGCAATAACGTTGTTTGTAATTCTTCCTATATGAGATTTTTAGTATAAAGGATATAATATATCTCGTAATTTCATATGGCTCAATATATCTCTGCCTCTGGGTTCATATATTTTTAGATGAGTTTTTGCGTAAAATTTAAGTAACTTTGAGTTAATTTTACAGCCTGCTTTTGTCTCTGTCTAAGAAATGGTATTTTCGCGTTGCTATTTTTAAAATCATAGAAAAGAGATAATATTGTGGTACAAAAGTAAAGCATGTCTACTTTAGAAGGCGAACCATCTATTGATTATTAATTATTTTTTGAAAAAACGATAATTAAGGACCTTTTAAAGATATAATCTCAATTAAGAATTATAAAATATTAAAATCTCAATTAAGTATCATGGTCTTTAATTGGAATAAAAAACAAACTTAACTTTATATAATTGCCTTTCACTAAACATTAAAAGATAACAACTTATACTTTTGTTCTCTATTCACTTTGGAGGTGAAAATTCTACTCTCACATGCTCTCATTCGTGAAAAATTTGAGTAAAAAATCATAATTTTTAATAGAGTGGATCGTCACCTGGGTAATCATCTCTTCCTCTTCTTGGTGATAGGTAATTTACATGTATTGTTTTTTTTACATCTTCTCCCCATTCATGCGTGAAAAATATGAACTTTTGCATTTTTTATCTTTTGTATCTTTTACGTTTTCTCTTCTCTCTTAAGAGAAAGACAATTTGTATATCTTTATAAACACTATTTTGCACTGTTTCTCTTTTATAACTAAGAAAAAAGAGGTTTTGTTGATAATTATATAGATTATCTATATACAATAAATAATTTCTGACAAAGATAGTGTTAAAAAAATTGAGTGAAAAAAAGAAAAATGTAATATGGATGTTGATTTGTTTCCTATTCTACAATACAAAGTATGCCGATGTTAAAAATATAACATGGATATTGAATTGTTGTAGTCATGGTTGGGATTATAAGAAGAGTCGATGTTGAAAAATGTAACATGAATGTTGAATTGTTGTAGTCATAGTTGAGAGTGTGGGAATGATAATTGTGAAATAATAAATTTATATGTTGCTTTTTGTTACTTCAGGCTTATTTCCTATATGGTAAGTACTTCAGCAAAAATAAGTATTGACCTGTGAGTAATTGTGAATGTAAAATGGAAGATTTCTTACTATGGTCATAACCAAAATCTCCCTCTAGGCAAGAGCTTGAAGGTATATCACCATCTTTGCTATATTCAACACAAAATACTCTTGCACTACTCTCTGGGGTTAATTAAGTAAAATGGAATGATTTATTTATAAGTATTGGACAGACATTTGACGATACAACTATATTTACAAAAGCGTTTGTGCACAAGAAAAAGTTATAGCTCCACAATGATTTTGGTGAAAAACCATTGACGTGCCTCAATTGACTGAATTACATTATGAAGATTATGAAAACAATACTTTTTTTAAACCACCATTGACTACATGTCCCCCAAGACAACCACACACCAAGCGAAGAGAGTCATAATTTTAAAACAAGAAGGTATCATTGTTCAAGATGTAATCAGATTAAACATACTAAGAATAGATGTAGGAATTACAATCTAATAATAAATATAAGGATTGAAATGAGATGAAAATCATATGCATATTAATTGATTTGAAATTAAAATGCATCTGATTTTATTTATTTAGTGTGTTTTGCTGTTGAATGACTTTTACAAGTTGTCTAATCTATGCTTTCAATCTTTTTGATCATCCATGCCTGCCATTTGAAATATTTGTAATCACTTGTGAGGCTACTGTATTGTGTGGATGAATCACCAACTAATACAATAACTCAAACCTCATTTTACTCAACTGTTTCTACACAATTAGAGCAACTCAATTAATGAAGGTATGGTATGACCACCTCATTTTTCTTGCGCAATATTGTTGCAATGTCTAAGGAAAATGATGATATACATGCCACAATCAGCTCTATGTAAAAAAATTCCAAGATAAAATCTATCAATAATTTATTACTTTACAACTATTATTCTCGTAATTTCAACTATGATTATAACAATTCATCATTCATGTTACATTTTTCAACATTAGCACATTTTTCATTGTAAAATAGAAAAAATCAATATTTATATTACATCTTTCTTTTTTTCACTCACTTTTTTTCAACACTATATTTGTCAGAAATCATTTCTTACATATATATATATATATAATTTAGATAATCATCAATAAGATCTCTCTTTTTTCTTAACTATAGAAAAAAAAACAGTGTAAACTAGCATTTATAAAGACATAAAAATTCCCTTTGATGCACGAGAAAGGAGAAAATGTAAAAGATAGAGAAGACGAAAAATATAAAAGTCTAAATTTTTCATGCACGAGAAGGGAGAGGATGTAAAAAAAATGATGCATATAATTACTTATTACCAAAAAAGAGAAAAAGTGATGATCCAAATGACAATTCATTCTATTAAAGACTAAGATTTTTTGTGTACGAAAGCATGAGAGCATATTTTTCACGCTCAAAATGAATAAATAACACAAACATAAACTGTTATCTTTTAATGTTAAGTAAAGAATAATTCTGTAAAATTAAATATCTTTTTTTTATTTTAATTTAAGACCATAATCCTTAATTAAATTTTAATATTTTATGATCTTTAATTAAAATTAACATTCTTAAAAATCTTTAATTATCATTTTTCCTTTTTTTTTTCCTCGAGGACGTCGCTTGATGTGTTTCAATCCAACTATTAAATTCAGAACACCGGATTCTGTTAATGTATAATCCTGGACCAGGGAATAAAGGCTTAAAGAATAATGTTCAGAATAAATACCATAACATACTCCTACAACACAATGAAATGAAATAAACGCTTAAAACCAAAAACATGCCAATCCCTCATCGGCAACGATTTCATTCTCGTCACGTCACGTCACTAGTCTTCCTTTGCCAAGTGGATAAGATCAGATCAGAGACTGGTTCCCACAGCATTCTAAAAAGTAAATACTACAAGACAGGATTCTCGCCTCAACTCATAACAGAAGTAGAGGCATTAAAAACATACAAAGGTTGAGATATTTGCAGAAAGCCATACAAACATTGCAGAGATCCAAACACAATGGATTCATCTAAGCAACAAATGGTCGGGAATCTATCTTCCAAACAAGGACTTGATCCACCAAAAGCCTTTGTCTTGAGGGGAGCCTCCTTCTGGAGGAGGATCATTCTGTGGTGTCTTGTGCAGTTTGCTCACATCATATCCCACTTCCTTGGCTTTCTCAACTAGTTGGTTGTATATCTCTTCATCCATATGAGGTTTCCTGCATAATATCTACATCCCCAAACAGTGTTATAGTCTTCAAGCAATGACAGCGCATGAAACAGACTTAATCACAGTTAGCTCTCAAAAAATGATCAGGTTACCGACCATATTCTCTACTAAAGAATTGAGTTGTAAACATCGATTCAATCTTTAAATTGATTCAACAGTTGGAATATTTTCATGACGTGAAGGTCTGAATTTATACTGATGAGCATGGATCCCAAGGACCAAGCTTGTGAAGGATACTGATACTAGACTAGAGTTGCTCAAGCGTATGAGAAATGAAGCAGAATAAAAGATACAGAATGTGAAATCTCAGAATTTCCAACCCCACAAACAGAATCACATACCCATGATGCAGTGAACTTTAAAAGAAAATTGAAAGATCTAGAGCTGATAATTTTCTTACCCAAAGGTATCTCCTGCTAGGCTGGCCGATAAGAGCATACTGATAATCGTCATCGATGTACAGAACCCAGTAATCTCCGACCACTGGAATAATGGGCAGAAACGGAGGAACATAAAATTTGACCTTAAGCTTAGCTTCATCGCTCTTAGGATCAGCCTTAAAAGCAGTCCCTTCTATGTACCCTCTCTTCCCATCACTCCAGGTCTCGTTCAGCACGTGCACAGTACCATCATTGTTCAGAGTGTAGGTGGCTCTGGTGTCCTGTCCATTCTTCGGCTGATTCCTCGACGGGAACGAAGCAATCTCGTACCAACGACCCATGTATCGCCCGAGGTCCAGACCCTCCACAACATTCATCTCTTTGTTCGCCATTGCTGGTGCTTCTCAGCTTCCTGTGTGTTGTCTTATATAACGGAGGTTCTTAACTTGTTAAGATTTTGCCGCTGGTTTTGAAAACATTTTGGGGCTATTTGATGTTGATGCGGAGGATGTTTTGGGGAGTCTGACGTGGAGGATTCTTTACCATACACGTAGGAGATGGCGATTTCTAGAAACTAGTTCGTGTTCTAGTAATTACCGCAGAATGGTGTCTAGTCAATTTCTGGACTACCCCAGCAAGAGAAAATGCTTGAAAATTTGGCTTGTGTTTCTCGATTCTTTTCGGGTTTATCATTATAGGATTCTTTCTATTTTTTTCCCCCAACTCTATCTTCTTTATAAATCTGAAATATTTAAATTACATTTATATTTTTTAAAAAATTGTTAAATTTAAATTATTAACTTTAATTTAACAATCCAGATTTACGGTATTCCTCCATTACTCTTCTCTATGAAAGAGTAAAGCCAGCTCCAACTTCTCAAGTAAATTTCATATAAATATTCTGCACAATTTTATTATTAAAATGAATTCAAGTGAGGCCTATTTTGAAAAATGGGGACCACGTTCGTTGCTTTGTGGGAAAGCAAGAGATTTTGGAGGACTTGCGGCTCAAGGCACACGTGAATGTAACTTCGAAGAAACTAACTGCTAGGCTATCCAATTGTATGATGCCACAAAAATGTTTTGGTTTTGAATAATTGTGAGGCTGCTTAATTAATTAATTTATGTATTGTTAGATAAATATAATTATTATGTTTTAGTTTCAAATTTTAATGGGGGGAAAAAAAGCAAAGGTACAATTTAATTATGATGGAAAAATAAAAAATTAAATGATAATTTAAACCCTAAAACTACAAACCTCTATAAATTTAGGAGCAGTTTAAATTTCAAGCTTGTTTTTTATATAGACCCTAAATAATCATACTTGTAATAATTTGGACTTGTTGGAATATTGTAAAAAAATGTTATAAGTAATTAGAGTTAATTATTAAGTTTGTTGGTGATCCTTAAAATTATATATAAAAGAACACTATATTACTAAGTTAAGTAAGGGCTGTATCCCACCTCTAAAGAAGTTAACAAATGTTTTTTTTTTTCTCAGAGTGTTTTTAAAATTTATGATTTCTTCTTCAAATTAGAGCTATATTGTTCATCATGTTGTTTAATCATCAATTCACCGTTCTTCTTTTGTTCAAGTTCTACATTTGTTAATAGGACTACCCTTATATTTAAATAAACGTGGGTTAAATTGATACACGTGACGGTTTTTATTTTTTAACCAGATTAATTCGATGCTCCTCACACAAACCAAACATGGCCTTCTCTCTCAACAACACTTTCTCCCTCCACTTTCTTCCTTCTCAAACCCCACCCACTTGCCGCCGCCGTCTTCTCCAGCGCATCACTACCCCATATTTAGAGATGTAGAGATTACTGAACAGAAGAAAAGATTTAGAGATGCGAAGGTTCCAAAGATTATAGGGTGAAAACATAAAGGGGCTGTCAGCGGTGCGCAGGAGTATTGAGTAATAGCATTCCTGTAACTCAACACGTTAAGAAGTGGCATGAAAAGCTGAAATTCAACGACGACGACAAAGAGATATATTATTACTACATGATGTGGAGGAGGAGAGATAAAGAGATGAACGGGGAAGCCACGTAGCAGGAGCTGAGGTTCTATATCCAATTCCTATGATCATGTCAATGTTATTAATCTGCCTTCCTTTTCCTTTAACCCCAAAAAGCAACCCCAAACCACACCACACAGCCCAACTACTCCATCTTCCCCATTTCTCTGCAGCTCATCCCTCTGTTTGACTGGCCGAAGCTGAAGATCACACCCGACAAAACCCCACATGTCCCGAACTCTTGAGCAGCGACGACTGGGAAGGTCTGCTTTACCATCTCGACCTCATCCTCCACTCCGGCGACCTCATTCAGGCCACCGCACTCACAGCGCGCTCAAGCGGGGTTCATGACAGCTTCGGACGGGAAGAGAGAGAGACAGAGAGAAGGGGGAGAGAGAGGATAAAATTGACTTAATAACTGCCACGTCAGACACGGACATTTGTTTTAAGTTAATGATAGGTCTGATTGCTGCAAGTGTAATTATTTACAATTTAAAATGTATTAAAAAAAGTTTAGAATTTAAATCCCAGCTTATAATTTAAAATCTAAATTACCATTTCGCTCAAAAATAAAAAATCCTTACGAATCTATTAGGAGATTTGAAAATTCTGAAGATGATGAAATTAAATTTTACATATTTTATTTTAATTATAATTATAATATCTTGTATTTATTATTATCTTTTAAATATTTTTGTTAACTTTTTAAGATTTCATCAATTATTGTTATCTTTATGTTTAATTTAAATATTTCTAAAATATTTATATATTTATGTTTAGAGTTAGGTCAAACCATCAAAAATCTATGAATAAAATCTAAACTCATTTGATCTGTATGGCCTTTGGTGAATTGAATAAAATTGAATACTGAGTTTCCTTTATCCTCCATTCTTCTCTTGTCTCTCATCCTTCCCATGTGCTTTTTTAAGCTTTTGTCTCTATCCGCTTTTCTCTTCCCCTTCCCTCGGCGCGGCATCAAATTCTTTACATTCAATTGACATTTAATTAATAATTAATAAAAAATTATATACTTAATATATTTATTTTTAATTAAAATATTAAATCAAGATATATGAATATTTTATAAATTATTTATTTTATAATAAATTATTGATATTAATTTTTTGATAAAAATGATTGATATTAATTTTATTATCACATTAATCTTGCCTTAATTAATATTATGCGGTGGTTTTAATGTGTGTCATTGGTGGGCCCTAAGGTCAGGGCTTCATCCTTCATTGCATTTGACAAATTCTATAACCTAAACCAGGGGAAAAAAAATTTTTTGTTGTCGTCAATTATTTTAAGAAATGTGTAGATAAGTGTAATTTCTTGAATTAAAAATATACTCAAGATAATTTTAAAAATAAAAAGAACAAAACAGAGTGTAAAAGCTAGACTTGTAATAATTAAACTAATTTAAAGATAAATTTATTTTTATTTAACTATATATACATGTTAAAATTATCAAAATACTTTTACATTAATTAGTTTAAAAATAAATTGTGTTTTAAAACTTATTTCAACACTAAAATGATCATTCAAACAAATATAAAAAATCAAAATGATAAAAAATAAATTTTAGAAACCAAATTAATAATTAAAATAAATTTAAGGGAGTAAAAAATTTGTCAATCATTGGAACCCAAGGAATGCATGGTTTTTCATAATAGAAGACAGGCAAGTTGTCATTTCGCTGGAGACAATCTAGACTTCACTTGCCCAAGTGGATTTAGATGAAGATAAGATCACAGACTTGTTCCCACAGCTTTCTAAAAAGTAAATACTACAAAGACAGGATTCTCATCTCAACTCATAACAGAAGTAGAGGCACCAAAAACATACAAAAGTTGACATATTTACAGAAAGCCATACAAACATTAGAGAGATCTAAACACAATGGATTCATCTGAGCAACAAAATGGTCGGGAATCTATCTTCCAAACAAGGATTTGATCCACCAAACGCCTTTGTCTTGAGGGAATTCTCCTTCAGGAGGAGGATCACTCTGTGGTGTCTTGTGCAGTTTGCTCACATCATATCCCTCGTCCGTTGCTCTCTGAACTAGCTGGTTGTATATCTCTTCATCCATACGAGTCCTCCTGCATAATATCTACATCCACAAACACTATCTTAATCTTTAAGCTATGACACCACATGAACCAGCTAGATCTCCACAGATTGAATTATTGAATTAATGACAAAATTAGGTTATTGGTCAATTTCTCTCAAGAATGACTTGAAATGTTTAACAGATAAACATACACATGAATCCCAAGAACCAAGCTTGTGAAGGATACTGAATTACTCACACTAGACTAGAGTTGCTTAAGCGCATGAGAAATGAGGCAGGAAATATGATACAGATAGAGAAAGTGAAATCTCAGAATTTCCAACCCCACAAACAGAATCACATACCCATGATGCAGAGAACCTGAAAAGAAAATATTAACATCTAAAGCTGATAAATTTTCTTACCCAAAGGTATTTCCTTCTAGGCTCGCCGATCAGAGCATACTGATAATCCTCATCGAGGAACAGAACCCAGTAATCTCCGACCACTGGAATAATGGGCAGAAACGGAGGAACATAAAATTTGACCTTGAGCTTAGCTTCATCGCTATCAGGATTAGCCTTATACGCAGTCCCTTCTATACTGCTTCTCTTTCCATCACTCCAAGTCTCGTTCAGGACGTGCACAGTACTATCTTTGTTCAGAGTATAGGTGGCTCTGGTGTTCTCTCCATTCCTGGGCTGAAAAAACGACGGGAACGAAGCAATCTCGTACCAACGACCCATGTAACGCTCGAGGTCCACACCCTTCACAACCTCCATCTCTTTTTTCGCCATTGGTGGTGCTCCTCAGCTTCCTGGGTGCTTTCTGATATAATTGGGAGTTTGGGACTCCCAACTTCGTACTTCTTCGGATTGTTCTGTGTCGCTGGTTCTGATAAGGTTTTTGGGCTTTTTAAGGTTGATGTTGCGGAGGATGTTTCGGCGCGTGTGACGTGGAGAGTTTTGTACCACGCACGTGGGAGATGGCAGTATCTACCAACGTCATTAAATTCGCAAGTTTAAATAAATTTATAATAAAAATATAAACTTGTATTATAAATTTAAATTATAAATTTATAAAAATTTATCTTTATTAACAAATTATCTTAAAAATATGATTATAATTTAATTTAAATATAAATAATTAAAATTAAACTCATCTACATTAATAAATTGTCATATACAAGACATAAAATTTTAAAGTAGAAAAATTTATTTTTGATATTTTTTTATTTTTTATTAATATTATTTTTTACATTTTAAGCTTTTTTCTTTGAACCAGGTCTTATAACTTCATATTATATACTTAACTCGCTCAACTAAAAAAAAAATTGATGAGCTTAACAAGTTTAAACAAGCTTATATCTGGTCCGAATTTATAAATTAGTTGACACAATTTTATAAGTTAAAAACATAAAAATGGTTAACTCGAAGGTAAACTCGCAAGTTTAACCGAGTTTATATCTAGTTTAAGTTTATCAATGAGTTGACATAATTTTATAAATTAAAAATGTAAAAACGTTAAACTCGTAGAGTCAATTTAAAAATTTGACGACTATGATTTCCACAATTTAGTGCTTTGATCTAATAATTACATATTAGGCTCACTAGCAATTTTTGGACTACTGACTAACCCAAAAAGAGAAAATGCTCCTTAAATTTTGTTGCATGCTTCTCAATTCCTTTTTGAGCTTCTCAATTCCTTTTTGAGTTTCTCAACCATATTGCTTCCAAAGGAGAAGGCAAGGTTGTGTTTTTGGTAAATTGGTTTACAGTTGGATTAGATAAGGTTGTGGTTTGTTTAGTATTTTAAAAACTGAACTAGATAGTCCGCTTACCACCCCTTAACCAAAATGGCCTGGTTCAACCAGTTAAACTGGTTTGACCTGACCGATTTTGAGAGAACTAAAGTTAACCCAAAAACTATTATAGCTCAACTTGGGTCAAGGCTAAAAAAAAAATTAGACTAAGTCTCTCAAATTCATGTTTTTTTTTCTAATTTCTAGTTCTCTTCTATCTTCTCTTATCTCATCTTTAATTTCTTCTTCACAGCCCAGGTTCAATCTTTGACTTCTCCTCTAACTCTAGCAATCCAGCCTTTGGTATCAAAATTAAAAGCTTATGAGTCGTGATATAATGGCGTGCCTCTAACTCTAACATTTTGCTTCGAGATCACAAGCTTGAGCTAACATATCTCTGCCTCCAACTTTAGCAATCTAAGCATCTAGCCTTTGGCATCAAGATCTCGAGTACTATTAAAAAATAAATATTTTTGATATATTTGTGTATATAAATATTATTTTATTTAATTTTTATGTCATTGGTTCAACATCCATTTCGGGTTTCAAAACATTGGGTTTGTTATTTTTACTATTAATATTATTTTTGTGGATACTACTAACATTAATTTTTAAGAATGGATATCAAGTAAATGGGATTATTTTTCAAGTAAATTTCACATAGATATTTTATATAATTTTATTAGGTTAAAGTCCAATTTGACCCATGTATTCATTTTTTAAGAGCACTAGACACCTTAAACTCTTAAGTGAGACAATTCCCTCCCCTGAGCTATTTTTTAGAGGAGCAAAATTGACTCTGTTAGTGTGTCATTAGTTCCTCTATTTTTGTGGCATCCCTCCTTGATCTGTGAATGAGGGTGAGGACCAATCATCCTCCACGTGCCCCCACACTTATCAAATCATTTTACACATCAACACACATTTCTCTCATCCTCAACCCCTCTCTCATTCTTCATCTTTGATGTCATTAGAGAAAATTATATGCTCCTCATGATAAGTCTCCCATCCTCACAGCCCTCCCATCCTGATGATAAGTCTATCTCAATGTCCTTCAACAACCTCTAAAGACCTATCTTCATATCCCATTTCCCCTCTCTCTCCCTACCCTTTTACACACTCACCCCCACCATCTCCTTCCACCGCCTATTCGTCAAAGGTCGTGTCACCTCCAAATGTCACCTTTAAAACCTAGTAAAACCCAAGCACTCACTCGATGACCTCCTCTTTGTCATCTCCATCTCCACATGTGAGTCTTGTGTCTTTACATTAATGATCCCCTAGTAGTGAGGTGGTTGTCAATCCACACATCTTGTTTTGGTTTGATTTTGAGATTTGGAAAAACAAATGTGAAAGGGAGGATCTTACGTGACTGTTAAGGATGGTCTAAGGTACCTGTAGCATTTTTTCAACTATGCGATACCTCTTACAGAGCTTCCCCGTCTTGTGGTGGCACTGGATGATAGTTTTTGATGGAGACACATTTCCTAAAAATAAATTAATTAATTAAAATCAATTAAACAATCTCACAATTATTCAAAACCAAAATATTTTTGTGGTTGATATAATTGGACAATCAAGCAGTTTCTTTGAAGTTACATTCACACATGTCTTGAGCTGCAAGCACTCAATGTTTATCCAAAAAGCTCTTGCTTTCTCACCAAGCAATAAGTATGGTCCCCTATTCTCAAAATAGACCTTACTTGAATTCATTTTAATAATAAAATTAAGGTTAAGATCTAATTTTATTTCTGTACTTATTTTTTAGGAGCGTTAAGCATTTAAAACTCTTAAGTGGGGCAATTTTTTCCTGATCCTGAACTATATTTTTAAAGATGTAAAATTTCCCTTATGTTACTTAGCCATGTATTCCTTCATTTTTTGGCTTATGTGTCATGGTGTGGGACCCAGGCAATTTGATGGGCAATAGTTAGACTCCCCTTTTAAATTATTATTAGAACTTCCCCACCTCATTTATTAATTATTTTACTTCACTTATTCATTTACTTACCAAATATTATTAATTGCCTTACTTTACTTGTTTACTTTACTAAAATGAAATCAAATGAAAATCTATCAATGAATAAGTGAAGTAAAGCAATTAACAATAGTCTGTACGTAAATGAATAATATACGGTATATAAATTAATAAGTTGTCTTAAATAATTTAAACATTTAAAATAAAATAAGTTAAGTAAGGTAATTAACAATATTGTATAAGTAAATAAATAAGTAAAATAAGATAATTGATAAGTGAAGAAGGAAAATTCTGATATTAATTTAAAAAATGGGTAATTTTTATTATTTCTCTCACAAATTTAACATAAAATCAATACCTTTGGACTATAATAAAAGTTTAAAAATTTAAGAATTTTAAATGCAAATAAATATAATCAAGGATCCTTTATTAAAATTCTTCCTTCTTAAACTCTCCTTTCTGTTCTGTCCTCCCTTTCCTTTTCCTGGCCGTAAAATTCTTTCGCGGTGGACATTTAATGATGTTGCATGTTGGTGGGCCTAGAGAACAAGGCTTCATCCATCATTGCGTTAGACACATTCCATAGCCTAAGCCAGAAAAAATAAAAAATAATAATATTTTTCTATCTCAGTTTATAAGAATTTTTTTATAAAATTATACATATTAATGAAATTTATTTAATACACTTTATAATTTTTAAAATATAAATTTAAAATATTTAAAATATTTTTCATTTAATATAACATTATTTGTTAAGCATTAAATAAAGAAAGAAAAAATAACAAGAACTGAATGGCACTATTAGAACATGTATGGTTAATAAAACTTTGCTTTTTAAAAATATTTTGAGACACTAAATCACCTTCAAAAGTACCTTACAAATTAGGAGGAAGGAAGTAATACATTATAGAGACAGAAAAATTTATAACTGTTTTCAAAAAATGTACAACATATGCATAGTTTTCCCTAGTGAAATAATAAATTACTATTTAGAAAAACATATTGATCATTTTTACAAAAATACATATATTATACTTAGAATATTTGAATTGTCAAAACTCTAGAATCTTACTACTTCTTATTTTGTTGATTAACAACTCAAATTGTATAATGTTGTGTTAAGTCTGCCATGATCATTCTTATTACTCAATAGTCCCACTAAATATTGAAACGAGTCAGCGGTCGCTAGGCCCTTAGATGTAATTTAAGTACTTTATCAATTGACTAAAAATGTCCCCGCTATAATTTAGTTCTCACCTCTCTCCAAAGTCTATCGACGGTTGAGAAGAAGAAAAAGTAGGGCGGACAAAGGCGATGACGCGGTCGGGATTGGAGCTTGCCAACGATGGTCCTTTGGTCAAATCACATGACATTTAAATTACAACCAAGGACTTTGAGACTGCATATTCATTTCACCATTTGGTAGGGCTTAGGGAATAAGAATGGATATGGGAGATTTAGGAGTGATTTTCCCAAACCTTTTCTCCCAATTTGTGGTTAAGTCGGGGGGGAAGATTCTTGTTTTTCTTAAACAAGGTCAAAGATTTAAACTTTGCGGATAAAAAATGAAATTCGAAGGAACTACTTTTAATTGAATCTAATAATTTTCAAATATACTAACTTGATAGTACTCCATTTTTTTAAATTATAAAATATTTTTAAATAAAATCTCATAAATCAATAAATTTCATTAAATATATTTAATAACCTTATCTTTTTAAAATAAAAATATAAAATTTTAAAAATTTCTATCATTTAATATATTGAAAAAGAGAAGGAATAAAAATTAATTATAAAAAAAATAATAATATTAAAATTAATGTATTTAATAAACTTTAATCTATTAAAATTTGTTATATTTGAGATAAAAAAATTTTTTAAAAATACCTTATAATTTAACATTGAATAAGTATTAAGTATTACCTTCAGAAATTTTCTGGCCAAAAGAATACTACCTCCAGGTGTTGACTTGAAGTATCAGGTCAACGGACTATTGCTCAGTCTCATCCAGCACGAGGAGAGGTCCTAATGGATCTTTAAAGGCGCAAACGAACCTTAATTGCTTCCTGCGACAAAATTAATGAAACAATCACAGTACTAAAACGTCATGCTAGCGACACAAA